AACCAGCCAAAACTCGCACGAGAAAACCTTGCTTGATAAATCAGGCAACCAGTCAAAACTCGCACGAGAAAACCTTGCTTGATAAATCAGGCAACCAGCCAAAACTCCACGTCATGTATATTGTTTGGGAATCGAATTTAGCTGTCTTTTGGTTAGCATGACAATCAGATAGAATTTGTGCTGGCAACATTTGTTTTTTTTTAAGCAAAGTTTTTTTTCACACTTTTTCACACTGCAAATTTTATGCTTTAGCAGCTCTATGAAATTGGCCCGCGTTGGAAAACTTAGCACTATCTGGCTTTCTTTCGCCGGTGAGGGTGCACTTCAGCTCCATACGGATTACAGGGAAGCATGGAAACAGCCCGGAAATATACCATGTGCTTCGCTTTTGGAGAAATGGTGTTATTGCTAGTCTTGCTAAGTGAGAGATTAGTCTTAATTATGCCTCGAAATTGAAATGTCTTTCCTTAGAAAAAATCCTCGGGAGCCCCCATTGTACCGATTACCGGCAGTGCGTAGGTCACAGTTGTCAAAACATTATTTTAAGCCCATCCGGAAAAAAACGTGTAAATAACGATAAGAACTTACCACTGTCGTTGTGAAGAAAACCAGGTTTCCGTAACGGTTGTGGTCGTCAGAGCTTGTCGTCGTGTGAATATGGTAGCAAATCTGAAAACCGCCACTCGGCAGTTAGACTATAATACACTGTAATTACAATAAAAATCTTCGACAATGTCCACGGCGACCCTGGAATTTTTTTTTCATTTCTTTGTCGACCTATAATAACACGTCTTTTTATAAGCTAGGTCATCATAATGCTTGGGCAAACGGAATGCTGTTTGTGGGGCGAGTATATGGTGAGGTCGAATAACTGGAAGGACGTTGTCGGGTCAGTAAGGGAATTGCAGGATGAAATCTACGTGTGAAAACGATAAGAGGGAGGAATTCGGTTGACAATAGGCTCTGCCTTCGCCTGGCCTCAGTAGCGGTAAACAGAAAAATACAGATTTTTCATTTTAATATCATGTCATTATAGTTCATTTCACATGAATGGCAGCCATCAGCACGTGTTCCCCATTAAAATCAAATAAAAACCTTAACATAATGAAAAGTAAAACTATTAGAATAAAATTTAAGATTATATTATATTAAAAAGTTAACATTGCATAAAAAGGACAAGGGACGTTTAAGAAGTCTTTGAGTTGCTGAAAATTACTATGTGCAGTCACGTTGCACTGTTTGGAGTCTTTTGGTTTTACAAGACCCAGACTCACCTTTCTCTAGCGAGATAGCAAAATCTTTACACAGTTTTTTTTTCTGTTGAGGCGTCTGTAAATTACACATTATCTGAATCGTATGACACTAATATAATGCGAAAAGATTTTTTTGTTGGATAATTCCAATTCCATCTATATGATCTTTTCACAGATTCCCATTAAAACCGCCAATACCATTCTCTAACACCGGCCAAATATAGTCCTTACGAACAGTTAAAATTAGCTCATTCACAGGCAGATTAAAACGTTTAACAACCCTTTTTCAGACAGACGGTCTAGGATCTCATCGACTTGGGTCGACCCAATTAGATTCTGGTTTCAGACATACGAACTTAATACTTACATTTGCATTGGGTTTGGCCCATGAACTTGAAAAAAAGCGACGTCTGAAACCAGTCGCTCTGGTGTCGTTCCAAGCGCGTTTTAGTTACGGACGTATATAAAAAAACCTGGACTTGCAACGCCTTTGTATGAAGAAGAAGCCAACCAGCGGCCATTTTACCCAGTCGAATACAAATGCCTGGGTTGGCTCCCTTCTATTGACGTCAGGAAGAACAAAGGCGGCATTGCTTTGTATTCGGCTCGGTAAAATGGCAGCGAGTGGATTCAATGATCTCTATAAGCAGATTAAGGGCATTGCGAGTCCAGATTTTATTAACACGTCAGTGGTTTAAGTGCCAATCCTTCGCCTATATATACTATGACACGCCTGGTCGCGCGTAATTGTTTCAGACGTCAACCTAATTGCTGTGGACTGGGACAGTATTTAATTCAAAATCTGCTTCTAATTTTGGCTCGGCGCGACTCTTGAACGCCTGTCTAAAACGGGGGTAAGAATGTGTGGTTTGTGATAACATTTTTAAAGCCATTTATTCGACACGTGCATCCCGTTAACAAATAAGGGAATAAATGTGCTTGGCCGGTCTTAATCCATCATCTATTGACTTAAATATATTCCAACTTTCAGGCTCTGAGCCTGAAAGTTGACTCATGATGGCGTGCTTCCGGAACCCTTGGATAGGAAAGATATCATGCAAAAATTTTAGAATTTATAATATTTTTTTGTTCAGTTATTTCTTAAGAAATGCAACTCGGGAAAAGGACTTTGGAAAATATTTGCTAATATATCATTTTATAGAAAGTTACATCGCGTGATCTGAAAGAGAAATATCCTGCCAAAATTTGACCCATAACTTCCAAAAATCTAAATACATGAAGAACAGTGCAAAGCGGCAGTCTCGTACGCAGATTAACATTTACGGTTTGAAAGTCTGCTGGTAAAAGCCGAAATAAAACAGATCAAAATATCTTACATACTTTTATAACGTACAAGGTAATAAAATTAAAACAGTATTCTACTTTTACGAAAGATTCTAATATTTTATCTAACCTTTGCTGAAAATAACTGTGTGATATCAATTAGTCTGCTTCCCTGCCCAAAGGTTCCCTTACGACCCTTTGATAAAAAAAATCCTGTCAGGCATCACCCACAGATATAAATAGATATGATGCAAGGGTCAGGGGTCACAAGTTGAAAGCCCGGGTGTTTTCGATTTCATCAGTGGCAACATCTCAAAAGTGAGGCTTTTCCCTAATATCCAGTGGGCAATACTGCAAGTGTATCCCCACTGAGAGCATGTTTCAGGCACCAAACCTGCGTATGGTTGCAGGCCAGTAAATAGGTCTAAAATTGCCTGCGCGGACCAAATCACGATTAGGCTGTCATATTCTCTGCTATTAGAGCCTTTCGTGGCATGTGGCCTGGGTAGTTTGTTAAACAGGTGGATGAAATGCAGGGGCAGGACTGTCAGCTTGTATTTCTAAAAGTATCGGACCAAGCGGGGCCCTCCAAATTGCTCTATTTTGCCATGAAGTGTAGGCATCAATTCCAAAATGGCGATGTGCCTCCTGACTGTCATGTTTTTCTCTGGAGAGAAATATCTTCAAAAGTCACTGATGAAAATGAAAGATGAGGAAGTGAGCTTTAATTTGATATGTGTCTTGAACACCTGTAAAACTTGTGAGTATTTTTCCTGATTTTCTGAGGTGGGGATATTTATCACTGTTGTCAACTGATTTACTGGTGTGCACCCGTATGTTCAGCATTTCGCCTGGCAGTTCAACGGACTGATCTGGAACCCATCTACTGCAGGTAGGTGAATCTCCGCAACGTGGTACAATCTTGTTTTCACGACAGCACTGCGAGTGAAAACAAACGTGCATGAATCAGGAGTCCTACGTACGATATCGCCGGACGTGAACGCGGTCATTATACTACGGAAGCGTATGTAGGACATAACTGAATTAAAAATGGGCCTAGCTATTTCGCCCGGGCGGATTAGTATTTCGCCTGGGCGGATTAGTATTTCGCCCGGGTAGGTAAGTATTTTGTCCAGGCGAAATAGCAGGCCCAATTTTTTTCAGTTATGTCCTATATATGCTTCTGTATTTTCCTGATTTAATATTCCACACCGTTAATATAATGCAGTTTCCGACAACAGAACTGAGGGCGCTGTTGAGACGCGCCTTTACCAATTCAGGTTTTTCTTCTGAGCTCACAGTAGTGTCAAAAAGAAAGATCATTAACTAACTCCATCATTAACTGCCCCATCCCCCATAACAATGTACCTGCATCAATTTTCGCTATAGATACAGCTCACCTTCTCTGCTGAACTCTTTAAAAGATAAAGAGTGAAAACCTCACTCTCAAAAAGAGTGAGTCTCTGATAAATCTTTTTCAAAATAGAGAAAACCACTCTAAAACAGTGAAAGCCACTCTAAAAAAAAAAAAGAAAGAAAACGAGAGAGAGAAAAAAGAGTGAGAACTCCTCCAAAGCGTACAAATCACTCAAAAAGAGTTGTCCTTTATACGGCTCGTTGGCAGAGTGAAAATTCGCTTTTTTGGAGTGGTTTTTGCTTTTTTAAGAGTGGTATCACGCTCTCCAGGGTGATTGTCATTGTTTTGGAGTAGTTTTATGAAATTCATTTTTTTTAGAGTGTGAGTTTCACCCTTTTGCCTGTATAGAAACTGCTTATCGTCTTAAGAAATTCTCTCCCCGCGATTCATGCTTGGTATTCTTTGTTTTTAAAAACCTACCATTGCCGAAACAAAGTTAAGTTAGAGAGGTCCAAAGTGAATCATCCAGTGCTTTGGATGGGTGGTGATGATATACACAATCACCAAACAGTACTCAGGTTTGAAAGCCGAAAGTAGGCGAGCAGTTGCATTTGATTTCAAAGACCCAAACCTGAGTCACTTTCCCCTGGTTGCCTGAATTTATTATGTTAATTGCGGGGTACAAGCTGGCTGGGCTGTGGCGCAAGTTTTGAGGGGACAGGGGAAGCTAACGATAAGCCTGCGCGTGATTCATCGAGCGTGAAATCTTTTTTTTTTACCAAGTGCAACACAGATTGTGCACCTCGTATGGCTGTCGGCTTACAAACAGGAACATTTCAACACGTCAAGTAAATATCAAATAATATCAATGGATGGCAATGTCATTTTAGGAAGATACTTTTTGACAGAAAAATCTACAAGGAAGTGTTACAGAGCTTTACGATAAAGTGATAGTTGGACAACGGAGTTTTAGTTTCGTCGACAAACCGACCCAAAGTGTAAGTTTTTTACGTAATTTTCTCTCATTTCTTGTTCTTGCTCTTTTCAATACTCATAACTTTGATCTAAAAGCAAACAAAAAGTAACGGACCTACTCTATGCTTCCCATTGTCAGTTCAGTGCAGCGCTAATAAAAGCAAAATATAAGTTTTCTTACAACTTCAGCATTAACCAGACCAGTGCGATTTCGCCTTTTATAGTGGTGGTTATATCGGTTGCTGGGACGGTGCACGTCGGTGAATCTAGAAGCACAATCAGGACACCAATAGAAGCTATGGGGTAGCAGAATGTTTATAAATTAATACAAAACTGGGATGACGAAAAAAAAGGACAAAAACATGGAATACTTTACGAAAATCATCTCTCAAATCAACTGTAATCTTAAGAGGCTAATTTTATAAATGAAACGACTAAACCGGATGAAAATATCTTAAGTGGCCCTAGTTATGCTCTTATTATAGGCTGCTTTCTCAAAACGTGGAGTACAGGGCATGGCCATATATTCTTCATCACGCTGATATTTTGTTACTTTTTGATAATGTTGCTCCAGGTTCATTAAATTACAGGGACGCACTGTGTACAGCTAGTACCTGCACAAAGGGCCTTTGTCCACTCTGACGGCTTTCCCATGTACCTTAACTAACATAGATGAGCAACTTTGTCGGGTTCTTTTTATTTAAGATTTTTAGATCTTTGGGAAAAGTGGACCGCCGCTTCACGCCGCGGTAGTATCATTTATGCGCCACGTGGGACCTTTTACATGTTCAGTGCAAAAGCAATCAAAATCATGTTAATTAATGTCACCCGCCTGACTCGACTGATTTTCAAAGATCATCGTTTTGTGATTCAAAATCCGTATTACTAAACCCTCCCTGGTTCGTGAAATTAAGAACAGTCTTGATTAGGTTTTTTTCCAGTTTATACCTTATTTCTTTTATTTAGGTAATGTTGAATGATTACTGAGGCCTAATTAACTGACTATTTGATTATGTTACCTGCAGGGTTTGTTTGGGGTTGGACGTTCAGTGGAGTTTTATCGGGCAGAAGTTGGGGCACACACCCATTCCAGTACCATTTATCCTCATGTCGCCTTCCAGAGATTGAAGGAGACAAAAACAGACGTTTTCGCATTTAACTGGTTTATTCTGTGATAATACAGAAAATGTAGGCCTAGTTCCAGTTTCGTCGAGCTCAGTTTATATGCAATCGGGTGTGTTTCGTGCCATGTGTTTAATTCACGTTTTCCCATCATACATAGAGACTATTGGAAGATAATTTGGTAACTTGCTACCCACCCCAACCCCAATCCAACCCTACGCAAATTTCACACGATGATGTCACAGACATGTTGCTTCGCGTTGAATAGGAATTGTAGGACTGCAAGTTTGTTAAGTATACCGACGAGTGTTTGATCATTTCTCTGCGGTCACACCAATCCCTCTGTATACCCCACTTCAAATATTTTTGGATTGGAACTGTTTTTGTTAATGAGCTTTGAGTAAAGAAACGAAGGGAAAAATTTGATTTTAGTTCTCAACTCAGTGCAACAACTTTGAAACTTTTGCGGTTTTGACGTGCCAATGCAGTTGATGATGAATCTTCGTATTCTAAACAGCGTTTGCAGGATTGAGATCTATTTTGTAGCGGAACATCCCAGCCCATGTTTTTCTTCACATCAAACCATTCTTGGAGAAAGAAGCACTCCCTCAGTTCATTGAGAAATAGGTTAACATTTGCTATCATTTTATTTTCTCTCCCATTTCAATTTTAATGGAATTCCAGACGGCACTCGGATGCTGAAACTAGCCTCGTCCATGCCTGGTGCGGGTCGACACAAGTACGCATGCGCGTTGTCGCCATTTTCTGATGGAAGTCGGCCGGACAGGAATGGGTTGTTTACCAAGGGCCTCGCGACTGTACGCCTCCGAACTTGCTGCCTTTTGAGTGGATCGGCCATGTTCAGCAAAAAAGCCCACGGAGACGTCAAGAAATCATCGCAGAAGCTTTTGGATCCGAAGAAGGATGTAGTCACACGGCTAAAACACCTCCGAGTTGTCCTCGGTAAGTGACCGACTTGAGAGTGCGGAAAGGAATCCTGTTCTCTGATGATAAAATGACAGTTCGATTGCGTAGAACTAGTTTCGTGAAATACAGCCACTGTGAAAATCACTTGTGTTGTGTATTATATCACCTTGACTTTATGGCATTTTCTAGCTCAATGAATCGGACCTAAAGTTATCATCTATGTATAATTTTGCCCCGTACGTTTAGGCTTACACTAGTTACACTTATACTTACCTGCTTACAGCATGGAGGAATAATTCCTCCATGCTTACAGCTACTGTGTTGAGCTACATTTAGCTGTGGTATATGGTCAGCAAGGTCAGCATTGCCATTGTCAGTGCTAACATGCCTGACAAAAAATATATGCAGAAAATACTGTTGTATAAGTCATGGTTAATGTCAATCATGACTTAGCAATACCCATGTCAACCTAGCTTGAATAACTCAAGCCTTAATAATATAATGCTCATGGCATCCAGAAATTTGTAGGCCCCTACCAAGTGCATGTACATAGGGCATGAGCCAGGTCAGCATGGTTAGTAGGCCTAGGCCTATTTGCCCTTTTTCTGTGTAAAAAGAAAATCTGCTAGACCTCATTTTCAGATCTGAGTTATAAATTTGTTTTTATATGTACATGTAGATGTAGGCCTTTGCTGTGGGCCTGTGTGGTGAGACATTTTGCTGAAGTCATGGTCGCTAATGCATAAACTACTCGGTGACTTAATGGTACATGTATCTCTTCGTTTTGGAAGGTGGTTGTTTGGCAGCAATAGCCCAGGAGCTGGGCCCGAAAGGCCTCTTTTTTCCATGTTGAAGTGAAGGTCAGACCTCCCAGTGGCCTTCTAGTTCATTGCATTGTGCTGTAACATTACCGGTGTTAAGCGCAATCTTGAACCTTGTGCAAATTTATTGTACTCGCTTCTGAGTTGATTATCCTATGAATGGATTTTATTCCAATGCAAATCAACTCAGAATGGAGTACCGTAAATTTGCGCAAAGTTCCAGATTGCGCTTAACACCAGCAAAGAAGAATTCAATCAATTCCATTGTAATAAGATAATCAGTCATTATAAATTGTTACATTTGGTCTCTGTCTTCTATGCTATGCTTTCACACTTCTACGGCAATCTCAGAGTGAAAATTGCATATATGTAGGATGTCACACCTGAGTTATGTCAGATAGTCTAGCCCAAACAATAACGCAGTGATCACTGACCAGACTGTTCATTGCTACCTATGCTGCTTCTGTATTTATTTTTAATAGTAAGCCCAGGTGGGAGCAGCAAATTAGCATAGGATATGATCAGCTGTTAAAGCATCATGTACAATATATTTTTTCACCAGGTTAAGTTTGTTTACAATTTCTTTGTTCGTATTTATAAATCAGTGTCTGATGATTTGGAAGACGCATGTGGACTCTTCTCTGAAAATGATTTTTCAGACTTTAACACATACATGTACATGTATGATGCAACTAGCCCATGCGCCATGCAACTTTTTGTGCAACAAAGGCCAGAGAAACTCTTTGTTTTGATTAATTTTGAGACCTCCAGATGACAAAAATATTGCAAATAATGCGAAACAGAGGTGTAACAATTTAACATTGTTGACTGCTGTGATGCGGGATATCGTGTTTTAACACCTTCGGGGATACACACCAGTACTGTGGTATACATGTATATACTGATAGCATGTGTGCCAGTGCCTCAGGTGATAAAACATCATATCCGGCATCACAGCAGTCAATAATTGTTGTGTAAGTCTCTAACCAGTACGCGTACAATGTACATGTACTGTATGTGCAAAGTTGATAATTAATTATGCAAGTCAATTTCCTCTTGACCTCTAGACAGTGATCAACCTCAACCAAGATTTTTATTAACATGATTACATGCATTTAGATCTGTCCTCAGTGTGTGCTTGGAAACCAATATAAAAATTGTGAGACTGGGGATTTGCAAGAGGTTCATTCAGAAGCTAAAATGGCCAACTTCTTTTGTTTAGGCCTTGGAATGATCCTAGCAACGGTTTCCATCATAGCGCACTGCATCATGTGAGTGAAATCAGTGCACTGGTGCTGGCATAGATGGTGCAGGGTATACGTACATGTACATGTATGTGGCTAAATTTAAGTATGTATGTGCATTTTAAAAAAAGATAAAAACCGGTGGGTCCCCTGCGCAAGCTGCCAATCGCATTCAAAAGGAAGGCCTAGCCTCCCTCCTCACCACTGAAGGAGCCCTGGCTGGCGCAGCATTTATGGGAGGATCTTTTGGCGGGAATATTTCGAACCAAATTGTGGGGACAAAATATGTTTGTGCCCATAATCCATGTGACTATGATCATTCAAAATGTGTACAGTCGCCAACAACTTTGGAGCCAGTATGGCCTCACTTCTACATGGAGCCCTGTGCACCGTTTCCAAGGGTATTTTGTGGGTTTGTTCCACTCCTTGCACAAGTATCTCTGATTTTTGACAACTTGAGTGTGCGGGACAACATTTGAACACTGTTCTTGGTGCTGAATAATAGAGGTTCAAGTGACACCCTGTTGGAGAACTCTTCAGCAAAATTGAACTGACCTAAACCTCTCTTCTCTATAACTCGGAAGATCCCAACAAAAACACAACTGGCTCTCCCCTACACATTTTTTATTATGTACACCGTAATTTGTTGTAAGCCATTCTCCTATTTTCTCTTTTCCTATTAAAAAAACCCACTGTTAATGTTCTGTTCTTATGTACATGTATGTGTATACTTGCATACATGTACATGTAGCTTTAATACATTTACTGATTTCTCTGATTTTTTTATCATATTCCGTGCAGTTACTACATGTGAGTCAGATTTGATCAAAAATAAACTTGGGTGCGACATTTGATTTCACCATTTGGTTGAAATGATGCATACTGATCATTGTCAGCAGCAATCTACATTTTTCAGCCCAAGATTTGAAAAATTGTACATTTTGGCTATGAAATGGAAGATAAATTCTGTTTTGGGATGTGCGATATGAAGCTGAGGAAAATGCTTTCAGAAGAAACATCTCTTGAAAATTTAATTCAAATGAAGAAATAATGAAGCTCTTTTGAAAGGCCTGGATTCATGCGCATGAATATTGACCATACTCATATTTGTGCGTGTTTTTAGTACTTGTTTTTCCCCTTGTAAACCAACATACATGTACATTATTAATGAACATCTTAGGATCAATGCTTGGTAGAGTTTCAGAATTTAAGTGAATTGCCCTTGGTTAAGCCAATTTTCAATGTCTGTCCTGTCATTTTGCAGTGTATGCACCGTTTGCAATGTACATCCACCCATACATGCACATGCACCTTTACATGTAAATGACTTAAAGAAAAACAAGTCAAACATTCTTGTAATCATAGGGTCCTTTCCTTGCAATTTAAATGGTACATTGAAAGAATGAAAAAGACAAAAGTACTTTGAAGGTGGGCACATACCGGTACATGTACACTGTATGGATATATTTTTGTAGAAATTACTAGTACATGTAGTACCGTATACGCGTGTTTCTTCGTGGGAATTACGGCAATGTTCATTACTTGTAGGATTTCCATTTGCAAATATATATGTTTCTGCACCTTCTTCCTCAGCTTTATTCTGTACACAGTACCCTACTGTGCTATCCCGCTATAGTTAGGGTTGGATTCAAGTGGCAGTGCTCAGCAAAATTAAATTTGAAAGCAGGTGTTAATGACTAAGTTGGTGACATCAATTGCCCTAAAGCAATCTTAAAACTAATTAGGTCTGGTGCCATTTTTACATCATCAGGCAGAAGATTCCATTTAGCAATTGTTCTTTGGTGCCGAGAATATTTTAGACAGTCTTCATTAAAATTGGGATGATTATACGGATGCTGGCCATGCCGCCTACGAGATTGATGAGAGCCTGTACATGTACATGTACCTGTTTGACTTTGAACTCCATGACTGCAAATATACCATTGAGCTGGTGTGTTCCTTTGTGCATGGAAATCACATTTCTTGTTTTCTTGCCATTAAAGCCATCTTTCAGTGAGTCCCTCTGGTACACTAAGAATTCTTGTCTGTGTACAGGTACATGCACATGAGAATTTGAGTACAGTGTATGTAGTGTAGATGAAATCTATATCTTAGAAAACAGTACAGGGGTTTAACAATACTATTCATTAAAATAATGAGCAACATGTATTTAAACAAACCACCATGTTCATGTTTGTGGAGTGACAGAATTTGTTGCTTTCGTTGAAAAGGTTTTTAAAATGTTCGATCAAGACTGTTTCTAGCTCTTTGACAAGAGTGTTGAATGGACATGTTGGCATGGAGATCTGTGACTAAAGAGAAATATGAAAAATGATGTGAAGAATATAATAGACCTTATTCATATTGAAGTCACTTTTAATCATGTTCCCTGAATCTCTTTTATTAAATGTAACCTCTCAAATGGGATGGTGCCAGATTATTTTGGGTTTAGGTATGAGTAATCAAATATTTATTTATCCATCATCAAAAATGATACTAATGTGAAGTGACGCTTATTTCTCTGCTTTGATTTTTATTCCAAATAAAAAGTTGTTTTCACTTTCAATTTAATATGGCTGACTTGTGAAGAAGACCAAGTTCGTTCTGATGGAATGTGTCCCTTTCCACCTGCAGATAACTTGGAACAACTGGAAGCGCGCAGCTTCTTTGAACAGTACTACTCTCACATCTTCTATGTATTCTACGAGAACTTCGTCTCGGTGGAGGCGAGCCTCAAGCAGCGAGTGCACAAAGCCCAGAGGGAAGAACTTGATGGCATTGTGGCAATATTTGAGGTTGGTGTGGCCGGTTGAGTTGATTTGGGGGGGCTGATCATGGGTTGCCAATTCCAAATCCCTATGAAGTTTCCCTTGGAAATAAAGTACATGTAGTTTAGGTAAGAAGAGTTTCTCACTGCGCTATTCTCCCACTCATATAAACAAATTTGAAGTCCAACAGACTACATGCTCAAATGCGGCAGGTAAGAACAATTGTTATATTACTCCAATTACAGCTTTAAATCTTGAAAGTATTTACTCACTCAAAATTCTCTTGGAAGTGTTGAATTAATTTATCTCCGATTGTTCTAGATTTGGACTGCGCACAAGTTGGAATGTTTATTTGATAACTGTTTGCACATGAATTAGACTACGCAAGCAGTACGGTCAACCCTCATTAATCATGCACTAGTTATGACCCTTGTTAATTATGCTTCGTTCCAGCAGATTTCTTTGGGAAGTACGTGTAGCTATTAGACTGATGAAACACAACTTTGGGAACTTACTGCCTTGCATATACAGTATATGTGTTTTTTCCACAGAAAATTCTCCTTTATGTACCCGACTTAATTCATGCAAGATGGCAGTATCAAAGCATAGGTAAGTGATTTAAATTCACTTGCATTAGCTTGTGTAGTTGCATATCAAAAGGTTTCCAATTCACTTCGCTGCTTGCATTCCTACCATTCCTTGAGGATTTCCTAACTATCTGATCTCAAACATATGCGCAGTTGTCACACGTATCTGCAGTCTTACGTAATTGGTTCACATGTGCAGTTATTGGTAATGCAAAGTACTTTTCCGATGCAATATTTTTGGGGGAAAAAATGGATGGAGTTTTGCAGAAATGGGGTTTTTGGTCATATTTATCAGCTATGATGTGACCATTATGAAATGTGATTTTTCAGGCTTCTGCCAATGATGGTTATCACATTGCTACCCACCTTGCCCAAAGGGGAAAAAAATTGTGGCTTTGGATTGAATTTTTTTCCCCACAATTGAGAAACTTTGATTCCTTAACCTTTTCCTGCCGGGGACTCCAGAATCGGAGACGTATGCTTTATATGCGTGGCCGGGGTCTCCGAACTCGGACAAAGGGAACAGGGCCCTGTGACAAAAGACCGTACTCCGAACAAAAGACCAGGCTGGTGGGCATTATCGACATTTTTCATTCTCAAAAGTGGTGATAATCCAGCCTTGTTTTGAAACCGTATACCAGGATTTGGGGCATTTAGAGTGAGCGGATTACCACCGGGGACAAAAGTGCTCCACCACCACAGCGATGAGCCACACAGTACTGCTGCACGCTAATCTGGCCCCTATTGAAAAGAGGTCAGCAGCGCACTGTGGAAGGTTCGTGAACAAAAGAAAGTTAGATAACACTGCACAATCTGGGCTCTGTTTAAAAGGCTGCAGGCCTGGCTGAAATACTCGGGTGTCAATGAAGGTCACCTGTCAACTTAGAGTAGTACCTAAAGATTACTTTGTGTGGCCATAAACGTCCGTTAAATGAAATGATGAATTTTTGAAGAATTTTGAAAATGGAAAAAATGATAATTGATACATACTCTGGCGCTAAGTGGTTAAGGCATTAAGAACTACATGTAGCACCAGATTCATGAGTACAAATCATATTGCTAAAATCAATCAAACTATCGCAAAAATCATTTTTGATTGTGCAATCTGCCATGTGGCTAGACATTTTGAAGTCTCCACAGCACACGTGTCACTGCACATGCATATGCATAAAGTGTGGTATTACCCATGATGCAATATGGCTGCTATTTTAGGGTGCAACAGCCCTGCTGATCTGTTGTTAATGTGGATGGGTTGTTGAACAGGTGGTCTTTAAGACTGCAGCAGTGACAATCAAGTGGGTTGAAGTACCCCAAGTTGTACATGTAACTCCACTGTGTTCCTTCTTCTACGGTTCAATTCACTTGTTGATCATAAAGTTAGCATGCAGTGTCATTGCTGTTACGGTCATAGTTCCATGATTCATAGCATACCCCTCCCCCCCCAAAAAAATAGGGGGGGGGGAGACAACTGTAAGACGCATATGTCATCTTCGTCCTGCCAAATGACATGCAGGTGTCTTGTTTCTGTCAGTGGTTGGTTTCTCTGTCATCTTGACTACCGGAGACTGTGTAGTTGGGAGCGAGAAACAACCTAGAGTAATTTGATTGTAGCCTTCTGACCTCGGTGAGACATCTGAGGAACAGGACCGAGGGGTCACACACACATATATGTAGCCGCCTGAAACAGTCCCTGCCCTGATTCAAATACGGTATGACAAGTTTGACGCTGACTGTGGTTTTCTGTCTACTGGGGAGTGGTGTGGGATGGGGCTTTACAGATACCGGTACATGAACTGGCACTGTACTTTGCACGTGTTTAAAAGTGAGCGTTTTTTTTCCCCTTAAAAATGTTGTTTTTTTAGTTTAAAATTGCTAAGATCATACTTACCAAAACAAATGTAATTTTTAAAACTGAATTATGCTCTTCGCAGACCCCTTTTGTTTGCCACACTCAAGTCCAATTTTAACATGACTTTGCTCACTCTGTATGGAATTAGGTTTAAAGGGGAAGAGACACGTAAAATTGATTGTACGTTTTTCCGGAAAGGAAAGTACAATACCATCAGGTTATTGAGTCCAGTTTAGTGGAGCCCATGCCCAATTTACAGTGTGCCTTGTACAAAATGTACGAGCAGTATGCATTTATAACTGTAGGCTGTTGGCCTCCTTCAAATTTGTTTCACATAAAAGAGGAATTGTGCATGTATCTTGTTGATTTCATAAGGAAAATGGATCTTTGCACACGTCTGTATATATTTATGGTGCTTTAAGCTTGATCGTTTGTCAAGGAGATTTGGGGAACAAGACTGCATATTACATATTTGTTTCTGGTCCATTAGTGTAGATTTACCAAAATAATGACAGTGAGGTGCTAATTGTCACATAATCATTCAAGTTTCATCGCTGCAAATTGGGAAAAGGCCGTCACAGCTTGTAAGGGAAGCCATGTGATAGTCATGGCATTGCCGGGGATCTAGCATTGCAGTACAGTAGCTGTACAGTGAGGTTTAGTAAAATGCCAGTCACTAATTGTTTCCTTCCTCCATTCTACATGTACATGAGCACCACTTTGCAGGACTGCATTGCAGCATTTGTACATGTATCGGCACGGTGCTTTGTGCATATACCGTACATGTACATGTAGATATATGTGTGTATGTATGCAAGCACAGTGTAAACAATGTACGTACCTTTGGCTTTGAGGAATACGTACATATGTACATAAAGTCTACATGGACACATCCTGATTTATATCGTACATGCAACTGTTCATATTGTAGTATACTTTGCTGAACGTACATGTACTACTGTTACACATACATGTACATGTTTTAAAGGATGGACAGCACCTGTTACTGTACATCATGACATAATTTCCTGAGATACCTTGTACGAATATCCAGCATTGGGTATCGTCGTCTCAAACTATAAAGAAAGAGTCGTTAGAGCAGATCTTAACATGTACGAGTACATTTTATGGTTTTGCATTACATGTACATTAATGTCACCTCACAATGTACGCATACACTTGCATTTGTGGCAAAATCAATGGATTTCTCCAAGGCCACAGTCTAGATGTGCATGTGAAACATACTGTCTCTGGGCATTTAACACTTCTGCAACTACTGTACATGTGCAGTGTGCATTCAGTGTGGAGGCTTTGAAAGAAGCCTATCATGACTTGGCCGGGCCATGGTATGAAATATCAAAGTCTGAATGGAGTGAGCAAATTCCATCATTTATAGTGCCATTCAGTATATGATTTAAGAGGTTTGAAGTACTCTTGGTACATGTACGTGCATGTTTACATAATTTTAATAAACAGTGGGCGGGGTTACAGTAGGCCTTTTTGTGCACACCATCAGTGCTTGTATACATTTTCTAAATTATTGAGGAGGAATCAAATACTATTCACACTGGGAACGAGAGAAATTTGAGGTTCATGTACATTATGTGTGGTGTGTGTACAAGCAAGTTGTACCATACCATTGTAACATAAGTGTTTAAGTCAGATTGTCACAAGACTAGACACAAGACCAGTCTCAAATACCTGTACATGTAAAAGGACAAACGATGACAAAGGAGAGCTTTTGTTGCAGTTCGGATACATGTAGGGTAACTTGGCATGCTTGGGACTTGAATTCAGACAGAGGCCTTGTGATGGTCTTCATAAGGGGTCTCGGTCTCAACTGTAACACTAAAGTAGTTACACATTTCTTTGTCTACTCATAAATGGTTAATTCTGTGAAGGGGTTTATGGCTGATGGTCTCAAAAGTAAGACTTCCATCATTTTTGACAGTTTTTGTAATATTATCCCTGAAAAAAAATTAAAGCAACGTTTTTGTCCTTTTCAAAGGCTATGGTTAATACAAAGATTCTTTTGAAATTTGTGCATGCACATCAAATTTATACAGCAGCACATCCTAGGACCAGGAGAGTCAGATGCAGGGGGCGGGGAGGTTTGAAGTCCCCTCCCCCACTCTGAGACAAAAACAAGGTTAAAAAATGGGACAATAATTTTAAAAGGTCACTAAAGTAAGCACACCAATACCATTGTAAACAGTCAATGTCGTGTAATGTTTCATCATTGTTTCCATTTGTCCACAAAAAAGAGACATTACAAAAAAATCTCCAGCCTGACACTCGTCCCCCCCCCAATTCTTGGATCCGCCCCTGCCTTTAAGAGGAAGAGAAGTACATGTACATGTTTAGTGTGCCATTTGAGAAGACTTCATAAGTTTCATAAGCATGCATGCAAACAGGGATAGCTCAGTGTAGACACATGTAAGTGTACATGTATGATACATGTATGTACATGTTGTCAGTGTTCCAGAGAATGGGAATACCAGGAAGTCAATTTGTTTCAGAAATTGATCATCATGTGGATTGGAATTAAGTTGTGCACGTGTGGCTTGTACATGTACTGTATGTGCCTTGATTTTTTGGATATGTTCCTTGCACTGCACTTATGTACATTGATCTTCGGAAATTAGGGAAAATAACTCTCTGAAAAATTGGTTAAGGGATGTGTGATTGTAACTTTGGGGGGGGAGGGTCAGGTAACTTTTCGTCCACGGAAAAGTTTGTCACTGGATGTCTTAGAAAGTACATTTACTTGTGATTTCACTTTAGAATTAAACAGAGTATATATTCCTTTATAATGCCAGTTTACAGTATTCAAGTCTTGAATTCGGTAACAGCCAAAAAGAATTCTTTGTACAGATTGTATATATCTAGGCCTCCATACGGCACCCTTGTAAGGCACCTTTGGCTAATTATTTTTCCTCCGTGTGTATTTTCAACATGCAGGGCGGATCTTGAAGACATTACTCCATGTTGGCAATTGTCTAAAGGTAAGCTTAAGAAAACTCTCAAAATGGGGATTTTTTTTTGCCAAAACAATTGTCACATTTTTTTCATCTCTAAAAGAGCCCGTCCTTCCCTGGCTGTGGAAGGTCATCCTGTCATTTGGATTGTATGGCCACATTCAGTTAATAAGAAACATGGCAGCAGTGTCCCCATAATGACATCAGCCTCCCCCTTCTCTGTGATAACCACTGGCCCATGCATTACATGGCCTGAGGACTGGTGTACATGTTCCATGTTATAATTTATGTACAAGTGTTGAAACAGACCAACCAGAAATGAACCCCAGAAAGTTGTCATTTTTGAGCACTCCCTGGTAATTTGTGTTCCCACCGCTACTGACTCATATTCAACTCGAGGTTAATTCCCAGTTGAAAATTCCACCCCCACATGTCAGCACCACCTGATCCAATAACTCAGAAGTTGCAAGCTCTTACTTGCATGTACAAAGCATGCAGTTCTTGCAGCCAAATAGCAGTGCCAAGCTACCTGTGCTACTTAGAATGCACAAGATGCTGTGTAATTGGGCGCTGTGGTACATCTATGCATTTCATGTACAAAGGGCTGCCAATTTCTCCAAGAATTCTTTCTTTTTGTGGCTTGACTTAGAAAATGTTTATGCACATGTATGTAATGTATGTTACATCGTTCACTTTCAAGAAGAAAATGGATTCAAAATCGAGAGCAAATAGAAAAAAAATTGACCGACTCATCCAAGCAGGAACAGTTGTAAATTCAGGTTCATCAGCTCAGACAAAAATAGGGTACAAATGCTGTGTACGTTGCCCTTGTCTTGATCTTGTGTTTCGGTTTTCATTTGTGGCACCCGAGTCATTGTCATAGTGGCTTGAATAGCTACATAATCCTTCCTTTGTGTACTGTTGAACCTGTTTGTTGGCTCAGTTGTTTTGGTTTCAGTTTTCATCAACTAGAATCTCATGCCATGCTCAGTTGCAAAATGACCTTATCGCGTGTATGAATCATCAAAATGCATGTCAGGACCGGGTACCTGTTGTGTACGTGATATACACTGTACATGTACTGCACAGGGTATGGCGGTATAATGGCCTATTTTGGTGGAAGACAAAAATAGCCACCAAAAAAAGTGGACCTATCCAGGGAACATCTTTGCACATTTATGCAAATGTGACCTTCCACAGGACTGTTGAGCATTCCACCAGGAGTGCGTATAAGTTTATTGGGAGATGTCTAGAGCCAGAGACGGATAGCGCACAGTCCAGGTGCACTGTAGAAGGGGCATGGTGCAATACATGTACGTGTATGTACCTGACCCTGTCCCCTCCAGGGCCATCTGTGTGCATGGGGAACCAATCATCCAAACAGGAGGTGACACTGTTATTCCCAGAGAATTGGCCTGTGATGTCAGTGGCTGAGAAACTTCAGATCTAATTCCAATTACATGTAAATGGGTGCACTTACATGCATTTTGTGTATGCTTTACATGTATTCACTTACATTCCAACACGAATACATGTACATGTACTTCAGTGTCATGGACTCATTGGACTGTACATGCACACATGTACCAGTATGGTACATTGATGGTGCTATGGTACACTATAATGATGGACAAGAGTCAAGCGACTGGTTTCTCGTGTTATCATGGATCCTTTTGGATGGACCTCAGTGGGTTTCTATCCATTTTGCATCACTGTTACTAGTCTTGGTCGTGAGGCATCCTTGGCGGTACAGTGTTTTGGTGCACACAGGTTGTTGCCGGCACCTTACAGCGATCCACGTAGGCAGGCAAACCCTACAAACGCATACATGTATGCAAATCCTTGAAGCCAGGCCACATGCCAACACTTTTGTCAATAAAACCACGAAACGCACTCAATCCAGGAATTCGACTTTGTCTACAATTTTTTTGATCTGCCTGTTGGCATGTACAGTATGTATGTAAAGGGCATCCACATTGTGCACACTGAAACACCATGCTACCAAGGATGGTGTTTTTAGGGACCATCCCGTACTGGTGTAAATCTAACACTCTGCAGTAGACCAACATGTGCATGTTGTACATTGTATGCATACTTAGCTAAAAAATTAGGTTGTTGGCAGTGGTTCAATGCCTTGTAAATATGTACACGTATGTAGGTCTACTCGTGTCCGGACTATGCTCCATGTATCCTCAATTAGTATAAACCTTGCAAAGTCAACCCTGTGTCTAGCCCCTACATTTTGTTGTTAATTAAGACATAAATACCTCACCCAGAAGTACAGTTACAAAGGTGTCAGGGAAGAGACGGATTCCATTGAACCTAGAGTGCATGTATACGTGTACATTATATTATGTGTCATTAGAGATGTTTATCTTGTGGGTGCATGAGAAGATTTCAGGGAATGTGTGCCTTGGAATAAATATTTAGAAGAGAACGAGGTGGCAAGTGGCTGAGGGTGTGAAAGTCTTGAAGCTGTCTTATAAATGAAAGGCGTAAACACTAGCCATCATAGTGGCATGTCACTTCCTGCTAAGGTCCTGCGCACTTCCTAGTAGTGGTTCATGTGCATGTCGCAGTTCTGTAGCAGCTCAGTCTCCCCTGTACTCGGCATGTACATGCACCGGGTACTCATGACAATCGGTGGTAAAGTGCCACCATCCGACTCAGATGAAATGTCAGGCACTCGAGCCAACACATGGGCTCAAGCAGGTTTTTGCGTGTACATGTATTTGTTTTTAAATTGTTGGTGTTGTTCTGTCTTAGCCTGTTGGTGTTTTAAAAGCCTAAAACTTTTAACGCCACTTGTGCCACATTTTATTGGCTAAGTTGGCTAACAATCATTTTATCAATCATAACCACAACAGTCACTTTAGGTGTCATGCACCATCCTATAGATACACAAAATACAATAAATAAGAGATGGGCAATTTTGCCGTGCAGCTCATCGTGAATCACAAGTATCTTTTTGGCTGTGAGAGAAAACTTGCTGCTTGGTTCCTTTGAAGAAAAAACAAGAACGTCGTCAAAGTGGCACGTAGAGCCAATGCAGTGTCTTTTTCATGATTGCTGTTAGGCAAGGTACATGTACATGTATGCATTGAATGTCTCAACAAGGTAAAGTTCAGTATGGCAGCTGTGAATGAGTGAAGTCCCCCAAAGAACTTTTGCACTCTACATTTCAGACAGATTGACACAGCATGGTATGGTTCAAAACGTTGACTTCACTCAGTTCTTTTCAGAAACCCCACCCACTCACAACACAGGTTGATTTAGTGCTCCCACCGATCCTCCATGGCATAGTATTATTTGTTTGCCCTCCATGTTTGTCCTCACCTCTTCAGATCCGCATGGATGGCTTGCGGCTCTTTCTCCTGTGGTTCATGGCTCTGCAGGAGAACTCAACGGAGGAGGCCTACCTGATCTACGCGACCCTTATTCATGGTTTCCCTACGCCTCCCACCATTTACGGCACACCCCTAGAATCCATCATGACCCATATTATACGGCCAGTGGTTAATTCAGACTGTAAGTGCTCACAGCAGATACATGCTGCATTTCTGAAAGTACTACTTTTTGCCTATATTAAAGAAAAGAATATTTGTTACAGAAATTTGAACTTTCTTTTAGAAAGCCAGGTTGAACCTCTCAGTAATCACAACGTTGGTTGTGGTTTCTTTGAAAATACTGTGAACAAATTAATTTAAACCTGCGTCGTGATTAATGTGTTTTGTAGATCCTTATGAGTTAAAAAATCTAACAGAACTACGTGTAAGTAGTGTGCAGACATGTCTGACTGGCAGATGTTAAGTTAAGGTAATATCCATTATAATGAACAGCATGTAACTGTGTTGTAGTTATTTTCGATGAAGAGTTGCCAAGAGATGTGCTATTGCTGGTCATTGACAAGCAACCTGATTTGTCACGGGTCTCTGCTTGCTTCAGATCAAGTTCAGGATGTGGAGATCTTGCCCATCATTCCTTGCCAGCCGGGAGACAAGGTGCCAGACAATCTGACCAGGCTCATGCTGGAGGCAGTGCTGCACTTCAGCGTCTCACAGGTTAGACACAAAAAACACACCTGAGCACACCTGCATCTGTGGGTTTCTGAAAGTGGGGACTGCAGTCTGCCTGAATTAAAGCAAACTGCCTTTCGCAAGTGGGAGCATGTGGCCAAGTGGTTAGGGTTTGTGGCTTCCAATCATAAGGTTGGAGGTTCGAATCCAGCAGCTGGCAGTATGTTGTGACCCTTGGCAAGCCTCTTCACCCCTGCTTGCCTCTCTCCACCCAGGAGTATAAATGGGTACCAGCATTAGCTGGGGAAGCAACCTGCGATGGACTGGCATCCCATCCAGGGGGGAATAGAAAATATTCTCAGTCGTTTCATGCCAAGGAAACCGGAGATAAACGCCGGCCTGATGAGCCAAATTGGCTCTGACCAGACTTGTTTTGGCCTTTAGCAAGTGCACTTCAGCAAGACCCTTTAAGCAAACATAAAACATATACCATAGTCTCTATGCTGCTGTGGGGCTCGGAAAGCCTCTGGTGATTAGTTTTGTGGATATTTCATTTTCATCCAATTTTACCCTACAACTGAACTGACCAACTGACCGTTGGAAGCTGTACTCAACTTCAGTGGGTGTGGGCTTGATGCATTCAATGCCCAGTGCATGCGTTGATACTCTAGCAGAATCCTTTTGAAATTGGTTATCCTTTAATCATTGCACCTGTTACGACCTTAAAATTGCTACTGCTCCTTGAATTCTTGTTTGTTGTTCCTTTAATATTAAAGATGGATCCATTGCTTGATGAAAGCAGGGTCCTCCCTCCCCTCCTCCACAAAAAACCCAAACAAGCAAACGAAAAATATTGTGGGAATCTCAGGCTTCAACTATGAGGACTGTAACAGCAACCTAGACGCTCCCTCTCACGTTGCCTCTGTGTGTTCCTCGTCCCTCTTGCCCATCTTTGCTCTCAGCTCCTGAAGATGCACTGGAAGAACCAGCGGAGGCACGAGGAGAGTTTCATCTTTCTCCTGGACAACTTCCGCCAGTATTACCTGCCCCATATCTTCCCCGGTTTTTCCTTCGACACCAGCCTCTACGAGCCTAATCTCGGTAAAGAAGATCCTCCCAACTTCCTTAAGCACTGTTCATTGCATTGACCACACCACTCTGACAATCTTGAATGTTGATAACAACTGAACAATGCCAGAAAAAAAGTCGTAGAGGTGTTTATGTGATGCAACAAGGTAAAAAGAGCAGATATTAAAACTGCTGCACTTTGACGTCATTCCTAGGAATCCATAAATGGAATTTCAAAATTTGAGTAGTGTGGTTGAGTTCATCAAGAGCAATGCAAGCCATTCAGATGAACTGTAGCAAATGCAAACTGTAACTGTTCTTTGGCCATTTCCCGTGACAGGGCTCATGAATTGACCCGCTTCTCATGACAAGGTTTGTGAATGACTTCTGATGGGTTCGACTGTAACACTGATACTCGAAGACACCAAACACGTACCAAAAAATCTAGTTGTTATTATAAATGTCTCTACTCAGATGGTAAAAGGCCAGTCATAGTGTGTTGTTTCCACGGTTATTTTTTTGTCACTGTTTTGTCCACTTGCAGAGATACCCGGCACCCGATTCACCTCCAGTTCTCTTCTCAGTAGTACCTTTGGCAGCTATGATCCCATGCTGCTTTGTAGAGTCAGTGTGGTCCAGTGGGTGGTGTCCTTCATCACTGTCAAAAAGGCGGAAAATAGCACCATCAGGTATGGCATCTGAACTGTACATTCTTGTTGACCTCCTGAATGTCAAAAGCTGGAATGTTCCTTTTCCCTGTGGACTGCTCCTTTCAGGAACGTTTTCAGCTCCCTTGGAGACTTACTTTGTTCCTTAATGGGAGTGGGCCATTCCTGAGTAAAGTATGCAAAGGCTTTGACCATTGTTCCCCGTTCCCATTTGGGAACATGCCAATTTTTCACTTAGTGCCAACTCTGCCGTCCTTGTGTAGACTAAAGAACAAAAAGAGTGCACAAGATATTGGTTGCGTGAACCTTGTGTGGACTAAGTGAGGTCAACTCATGATTTCCCCCTCCCTGAAAAATAGGTTTAGAGGCATTTTAGTGTTAGGGTCACCAAAGGGAAGCAAACTGCTGAAAAACAGTCAAGGAAATCACTAATAAACATCTAGCTTTAATACAGTGTTCATGGTGCGAGAAAAATCTTTCAAGTTTTCTTAACTTCATGAAAGCAAAGGAATGTCGAGATGTGGTATGTAAAGTTAACACTCAAGTAATTTAATGTGTGCTTGGTGGTTCAACCTGTCAGCTTTCCCTGTGTGCATGGTCAGATTGTGTTTACACCAAAGATCATATAGCGCCACAAAGCGGCGAACTTCACAGGGAATACACGTAAAACGTTGTAGTCGCATGGGAGCCATTTGAGCAAGTGATACGCCTGCGCAATGCACATTAATGCAAAGGCGCTGCGGCATGCATGTGCACCTGGTGAGCCTACGCCTAAGCATTACCGTAAACTGCACAGGTGTATCGCTTGCTCAAATGGCGCCCATGGTAATTACATCTTTTGGGCAGAGTTATCCATCTTGTGCCTTCGGCGCCATATGATCTTTGGTTTACACCTCCTCCTATGTGAAGAGGTTAAACTTGTTTTCTCTCTCCATCAATTCGTTAATCAGTGCCTTGCAGGAGGAGAGACAGGAGAGCCAGAAGGACTCGCTAGAGCGCAAGCTGGATGCCTCGCTCATCAAGGATGGTGAGACAGTCAGCCCCAGTGCCACCCTGAACAGCAAGGACCAGAACGCTCTCATGGGAGCTAGCGGGAGCGCGGCAGGTCTGGTGCCGGCTGCCCCACTGTCCCCCGAGGAGGAGGAACTGCTGGAGATCTCCCGGCAGATTGTGCAGAAGGTCTTCTACTCCTCGCGGGGGAACATCAACTTTGTCCACGAGGTGTTGAGGCAGGTGAGCCAGAAATGTGATTGTTTATTCTTTCTGGATTTGCAGAAGTTAAATACAAGACTAGTTTTATCATTGCCATTTGGGCAAGGACCCCTGTTGGCTATACAAGGTACCCGAAAGAACCACAGCATTTTCTAGATGCCATCGTCACAACCCCTCATCTGGATGATGTGTGGTGTGCAGGTTCATCTTAATCCCCCGATCTCATTCCTGGATGATGCCATAGCAATCCTAGAAGATACATTAACCTGTGCTGGGAATTTCCTTGTACAGTTTGTACACAATAGCACTCTTGCTGAGCGGGGAAGTGGAAAGCTGTACCAAAAACGTGTGACTTTTGGTAGCAAATTGTACTCAGAAATATATATGTTATGTTGTTTGATGCACTCAAGATTTTTGATGGTCCTTTGAAAGGCCTGTGAAAAAACATTGTATTTAGTTGTTATTTTCCTTGGTTACAGAGTTCCTCTTCTGAATTTCCAGCAGTTCCTTTTTTTTCCTCAGCGTTTGCTCATAATTGAGATTCATTCCTAGCAGTAGTGAAATCCTTTCCTGCTGAATTGTAAATGATGCCCCATCCCAAACCCCCAAACAAGGTTTCAAGGATAGGTCACAGAAAATCAAGGATGCATCAAACAGTCCTCATGGCAACAAGAAATAAAAACCCTGTGCAATTTTATGCACAAAGCGTGGGTAGACCTCACATTTCCTAAAATACTGCCCCGTCAATTTTTTTTTCCTTCCTTGCTAGGGATTCCTCCTGCCTATGTCTGAGGCGGGGGCCGTCAGGAAAGCTCTAAGGATATACAATGACTGGATCCAGGTAAGACGGTGCCACACAACAGGGGAATCACTTCCTGTCATGGCCATTAAAGGCTGCACGGTCCATTTCTGTCTGGCACAAATGCATTGAGGAGTCAATTTCTTTCTTTTCTTTTATAATGACAGTTCTTTCTTCAGTTGGTGGTTACAATCTCAAAATATTTGCACCTTGTGTTTCAACACTTACGGAAAATTTGTAAGAAAAAAGAACTCGGACACTCTTTTCTAGCGTGGACTGGCAACTTCTGCCATCACGCCAGCAATATCCTACGTAGGATTGGAAAAACAAAAGTTGATTTCGATTTCTGTCCTTTTTTTATTTTAAATTCCATCAGTTTTCTTTATTCTACATTTGCGCTCTGAACAATGTTTGCGGAATAGCAAACCAAACATGGAAAAACAAAAATATTTCACCAAAACAGTCCTTGAAAAATATCGAGCTCATGGGATTCGTTTTTTGTTCTCCATGTTTTACAAATAAAAAGTAATTTTTGCAATTCTAAGTTTAGTGCTCCTGTAATGCCGTTAACTTCCAGCCGTTTGTTCCAGTCATCCTGTCATCTGTCCATAATTCTAACAGACTGCACACTTGCCGTGTAAAAATCGCAGCCAGTTTTTGAAATAACTAGCATTAATATAAAGCAACAGTGCTTGCAAAAAGGTGACAGCTTTGCTACACACTGTGAACGCCAACCCTGCCCATCCCAACATGTCTCAATCCAACATTGTCAGCCATCCATCTCACCCATGTCATCCCCAACATATTTAGGCCCAGCTGACTGCCACCAGACCCATATTCATGGAGGAGCCCGCTCCCAAGGTAACGGTTGCCATGGCGCCCGCTACATCACCGGGCGCCAGCGAGGGCGTGAATGAGGTGGACAGTCCGTCCTACGAACAAATTCGAACCTTTGATGATGCCACACCTCAGGTAGGTCGCTGCTGCCAGCAACAGTGCCATTATGGCCTGGTTCCCTGCCTCATCATAATACAAACACTGCTGTAACGTCTTAGGTGTACCTTGGTTGGTGTCTGTTGCTATGGATTTCCATTTTCTTTATTCCAGGTTTCTTAATGTCAACCTCTGTTTAGTCAAATCAGTGTCTCTTGAGGAGGAATGTCTCCTGGTTTGAGGAGGGCTACTGAACTAAAAATCCTGCTGTGCATTGCAAAACATTTTGCCACCCTGCTTGAGTTTGGGTTTGAATTTACTGTACATGTATGCTCATCCAGCATGCTTTAAATATGTAACATGTACCATCAGTAACACGTACAAATAGGATGCCGTGCTCTCTCTCAGGCCCTGTTCACCTTTCAGCATGTCTGTCGTAAAAAATGATGTCGCAGGTCAGAAACATTGCAGAGAAAAAATTTAGTATACTTGCATTACATCTAACATAGACAGATCAAATGCAGCGTTATTTTTCATTTGTACATTTTTAATGCTCTAATCCATGCATCAAACCAAATTAATCCTTTCATTTCATTACGTTTTTCCAGCTGCAGTTAATTTATGGCAAGTAGAATCAGTTGGACTAACCAGCATCTAGAAGCGTCTCAGTCATTCAGTATGAAATTTTGCCTTGCTAATGTTCAAAGTGTTCAAAATCAGTCAGTTACATATTAATGGTATTTTCACTTCTTTAGCCCAACACATTAATATTTGGGTTTTTTGTCACTTCTCACTAAGAAGCCGGATTCTACAATGTTAAATTGAATTGAAAATTAAACATCACGTAATGTTACGCAGTAATGCCAGATGTCATTGCATTCAGTTTTGGTTGCTTGTGAAACATTTGTCATCATGTTTAACTTGCATGAATGTCGTAAGAGTCAAGGTTTATTCAAACCGCTCTCATCTGGGAGAGGGGGTTGCCCAGTGTCAAATCTAACCTGTCCAATGACAGATGTTTTAGAATTTGATTTGCATGTAAAGACACTGACTCTTTGTGTTGACAAATCCATTCAAGCCACCACTGGACACTATTAAATGGCCACCATGAGCAGTGAAAAGCATCGTACTTATTAGCCAGAACTGTACAGATTCTTCCACCATTGACGGGGGCCACTACGAGTATTCAGGTGTTATGGGAATCAACTCCTCCTCTCCTGGAATCGGTCCAAAAGTGGTGGTGTTACTGTCACGAGTCATGTACGCAGTTGTTTGTGCCCGAGGAGGGTTTTGGTGTGCAGAAGTGAATGGGAGAATATGCCATAACTGCGTCAGGAAAGGTTACCTTCTAGGCTATCTGGAGGTCTGAGTTTTCATCGGAATTGGTGTCAAAATGTGCCCAAGGCATCAGTAGGAAAGTCTCAGGAAGGATTGGCAGAGTCAGCAAAATTTACATTTCCCACTTTGGGGGGTAAAATATTCAAAGGTCACAGACTGCAGATATACTGACTGCATGTATGCGTTCTCAGAATGCGGAATCTTAAATTCTAGCTGTGCGTGTACATTTTATATACAGTTTATTGTAAAGGAAGGGCTCGACTAAAACAGATTGTCAAACAACCACCATAAGCTTATATAGAAATTGCTCTTACAGAGCTAAGTGATCAGTCCAGGGATTTAAGGTCATTCTGTGCCAATTCACACACCCTTCCATGTGAGTGACCCCTTTCCGATTTGCCTAAAAAAAATTACTAAATATACCTTGGCATACCAAATGAGTTAAAATGAGGTTTCAGCTTGACCTCTTTAACAGTGTTCCATTGATAGCATCTGAAAGTTTGGGTGCTTCGCCACTTTTTGGCACTCCAATTGGCACGTTTCGTTTGATAACATATTTAGAGGCTGTTATATTGTTTTCCTGTTAAAAGTGGAAAGCTTAAAAGTGGTGTGAAAACCAAATCTTGCCCATATTTTTAGACCCCTAAACACGTGTTACCCGATTTTCTGTTGGATGTGACTCACTTGAAAGAAATGAGTCACTTGTCAGAAGTGAGTCACTTGTCAGAAGTGAGTCACTTGTCAGAATTAAGTCCCTTGGCAGAAGTCAGTCGCATGTCACTAGTCTTTGAAAAAAATGTTTGATACAAGGTTTCAAGCATGTGAAAAAAAATATTTTTTTCAGTGTATATTTTTCCGGTGTTGGATGTCACTTTTGAAGGTGAAATAAGATTTGTGTCTCATCTTTTGTCACTTGTAGAAAACCAGTCAGATTTGCCTGAAACAGTTCTTGAAGATACATGTACCTTGGCATACCAAATCAAGGAAACAAAAATTTCATCTTGATATCTTTAATGATGTTCTTGTCATAAGCCTCTGAAAGGGAATAGATTAATCTAAATAAATTAACATGGAAATTCATCCATCATGCTGATGATTTATAAAAGAAGGTGAAGACTGGAGGTCTGAGTCAGAAATTTGAGGTGTGAGTTTCGCAGTGTTATGAACTTTAGTTTCAATAATTATTCTAAACAAACTTTGAATAACTTAGGCATGTTTGAAGACAGTCAATTTTTTTTTTAATCGAATGAAGAATTCTCAAACTTGGGGAAAAAGAAGACTAGGTCACTGGTATCCTGAAGTTCATGGCATTGCCTAATGAAATTTTGAGTTATGCTCCTTTTAATGAAGTTGAATTCATACCTATTCGGGATTAAGAACCCTATTCCAACTTGCACAGTTTACCTCCACTAGCCAGCCAAGTGTTTTCATTCTGTATCAGATGCACATGTGGTGATGTCACACACAGGTGAAGATCAAATGTACAAATAATTGTCTTACGCGATAGCTGCGCCTAACATAGTGAACATGTGTCACACTAACTACTCAGACCACTCAGAAAGAGGGCGATACTTAGGCAGCCATGTTTTGCCAAGAGGACTTGACACTGAGTTTGACCGATTCTGGTGACTGGCTAAGGAAGGGGATACTGACCCCCCAGCCTCAAACTTTGTTTATACATTTGTGCACTGACTCTGACTGACTTTCAGTCATGGATATAACTCTTCCTAACTCTCTGCATTTCAATTTCCTCATTTTCCCCCTCTCGCCAGCCTGACAAAGCCCAGCCAGTGCTCCCGTCTCCCACCTCCCTGAGGAGCCCCGGTAGCAGCTCCTACTTAGGCGCCATCAATGAAGCCATCAAGGAAGGCCTGAAGAATTGCAATGTGGAGGCGGGCCTGCAGGCCACCATCCAGGTCTTCATCACCAACTCAGCCAACGTGTTCCTGCTGGAGCCCGTCCCTAACAGCCCACCCCAGGCTATCAAGGATCAGGTCAGTGAAGTCAGGGGCTGAATTCCACAAGGGTGTATAGCCCTCCATTTCTGCTAACAAATCTTGGCCTGGAATATTTCAAGTCGGACAAACAGGAAAAAATTTGGAGACTAACCTCTTGACCATGCTAATAGAGGGGTCCCAATATGACGCTTTTAGCGTTGATCTGCACACTTTTGCCTTGAAAACAAGGCTGTACGTGTCAGCTTCAATTCTTAATAGGATCAGATGATTGAAAGTAAGGAATCAAGACACAAAATACGTAAAGATATGTTAAATTCAGACTTTTCAGGCTGCAAGTTTTTGTGGAAGAGTCTTTGAGGATGACTCGACACGTAAAATAAAAAAAAAATTAACGACAATTTTTCGCAAACTGATGTACCTGCAATGCTCGTGTATCTGCATGCGCAGTGGGTGTGGTTTAAACTGAAGTGGCGTCTCACGAACCGGATACTGCATGTACTGTGTCGACTCCGCGGGCGCGCATGTGATGAAGTTCAACACTGAGAGCCTTGGTTTCGATGCGGCCATGTGCAGATGGCGCTAATGTGAAATCCTACTTTACACTGCTTACATCCTGCTGCTGTAGATGTCCTACTGCATAGTACTACTGAAAGAGTCAACACTTCAAACTTTGCAATTGCATTTGCTGGATATTTCATTTCAAATAAAGTTTATGACAAATAAAAAAGAAAAATAGATGTTGGGCCAGTTTTTGGATGTTGGCGCTGATGAGAGACAGATAGTTATTTTTATGTGATCATAGCAAAAACTGGTTACCAGTCAAAATGCCGTGAGGGGTATGTTACCAGTGAAAGGTTTTGTGATGTCGGAAGTGTGCCAAAATTTGCTAAGCATGTGAAATGCAACTGGAAAATCCTCCAAAACTCTGCGATAGATTTTGAAGGATTAGGGTGAGGGTTGTGACAGAATTTTGGTCCTGATTCAAATATGAATATTGAGGTGTTCTATGATAATCATTCTCAAAGCTTAGTTGAGATTATTACTCAAAGTCAGAAATCTTTGTCATGGTTCTCTCCAGTATCATCAGATCCAAGGTCTTATTAACCATCGCCATTAGAAGGCTCCTGTGGATTCCAGAGAAGTTTTACTGAAACTCACCTGGCCCGAACGTAAAGACTTCACATTTTACTCTGCGCAGGTCGAAATATGCAAGCGTGTGCTGAAGCTGTACAGGCACGTCGTCATGAACGTCACCATGGAAACCAGGACGTGGGAGCAGCTCTTAATGGTGCTGCTGCGAGTGACAGAAGGCGTACTGGGAGGGGCACCCTCAAGGTCCAGGCTGAACCTCGGCCAGCAGTTAGCACAGATCCTGTTTCAGGTATGATCTCAGTCTATCAGCATTTGAAGTTACAAGCCTTCTATTCTGATGATAGGGTTACATGTACCGAGATAACCCTAAAAGCACCGGGGGGGGTCCCCGTCAACATTTCCTCCAATATCATCGTTGATGAAATGGAATGTGGTGTTCTCGCACAACACGCACTCTGGTGAGACAAGTTAGCCTAAAATCCATGCTTTTTCCATTGCGTGCTCAGTGTATGCTGGCTGACACAACTTAGGTTGTGAACTTCAAATGTCATATTGATTCATGGGATTGTCCAAAATAACCTGGATCTTTGAGAGTTGAGTTTATTCAATTTGTGCAGTTTGGGAGTTTGCATCTTATTGTAACAACTGCCGATGTTGTTACTTAAACTTTGTTGACTAGTCAAAATATAAATAAGAATGAAAGATAAATTGCTTCAAAGGAGGAGTGTGTTAAATTGTTGGAGTGTCACAAATTGAAATAACCCCAGTTAAGTACAACTAATGAAAAGCCGAGATTTACATGTATTCAAGGTTTGCTGTTCCCAACAAATAATGGAAATAACTGAAAGAAATGACATGTGACCAAGACAGTGATGCTCGATAGCATAGAATTGAAGTTTGGAAAAATGAATGAAAAACTTACAATATAAGTGACCTGTTTGAGTTTGTAGAATAGACAGCTGCGAAGCATATCTGTGTGGGATAAGTTTGTGCTATCTGGAACCATCCCTCCAAAGTTGCAAAGGTGGTTCCATGGCTGTTCTCATTAATATCGCATGGCACAGCAGGGAACCAGGAGTGGGATGTTTTGTAACAATATAGACCACAACATGATCAATATCTGATACTGCTGTACATCAGCCACTGCCTTGGCCGATCAGGTTTGATCTCGTCAGATCTTAGGTGGTCGATTACGTCTTGACTTTTGAAGCCTGTAGGTCAAGATCACATGATCCACCAACAGCAAGGAAATGTGACCTTGAAACCGTGTCCATCAGAAGTATGTATGGACGCTGCAGCAGGCACATACATTCAGATTAGATATTGTGTAGCCTATAAATAGAGCAGCTATGTAGTCCCTGCCATCATCTCTGGACACCTCTCGAGGGAAAAGATTTTAAGTCTCCCCGTATGTGTTGCTTCCAGACTCTGATTGTGTCCTGGATCAAAGCCAATCTGAAGATCCGCGTCTCCAAAGACTTGTGGGATAGATTCTTGAATGTGCTGTCTTCACTGACCCACTGGGCGGAGCTAATCACAGAGTGGTCGGTAAGTTGAAAATCCTCAGATAATACTTTTTGAAAATATTTTTCACATCATATCAACAGTGCGCTCCAGCATTCTGTATGAAGGTAATGCAAAGCAAACTGAAAGCAAACAGCAATGCTTTATTCTTTTCTCCATTTCTCTCCGTCTCCATCTTGGAGATTACGAAATTTTGCTACTGGTAGTATCATGGATACTACCAGAAATTCAAGTCCATGAATATTTTATTTGTATTCGGTTGTTTATTTTCATTAAGTTATATTTTTCAGATTTATCTGCTCAGAGAAAAAGTGGAGTTTAAATACCCTGCTTGCTTTTATTTGTTTGAGGAATATAAAATAATAATATAAGAATTGCTTTTACAAAAGGCTGGAAGAAATTTGTCTCTGGATCCTGGAAGTCTACTGTAGTCAATATGTTTCAGCACTGCCTTTTTGCAATATGTCTCATCATGATGATTCGTCTTATTGCATTGACAGAAAACCATGGAGACACTGACCCGGGTCCTGGCCAAGCGCGTCTACGGCATGGACCTGAACAACCTGCCCCTGGACAAACTGCAGGACAACCGCAACAGGCGTCTGCGGGGTCCACGGGGGACAGCGGCCACCGCCGCCCCCCAGGCCGACCGCGACAGGGATGGCAGCAAGAAGCATGACCGTACCTTCTCCCGGGGCTGGAGCCGCTGTGACTCCAGCTCCCCGAAGGGCTCGGACGAGGCGGATGGGGCTGGAGGCAAGCACCGGGACCGCATCAGCACAGTGGGCAGCCGCGACGACCTGGACCGCCTGCGGCAGAAGATGGGTTACATGAGAGATGTGTCGTCCAAGGCAGAGGCAACCACCGTTCTTGCCAGCCTCAACAAATGTTAGTCAAACGGCCCCGCAGTTGAACGCGTTAGAGGAAGAAAGACCTGTCTCTACCCAAAGATGGTTTTTATATGTGCACTGAAGGACTCCAACTCAGATTTGGAGCTTTTGCCATCCATACAGTGAATAGAACATCTGATAAAAGATTACTTGGAGAGTGGAATCGGGCTCATATTTAACACACAAGGAAGCCTTTGATGTCAGTAACAAAATGGTGTGGGTCTCACTCATGTTGGCCAAGAATACCGCTCTCAGCCGTCCTTCCAGGCAATTCCTATCTTTTATTTTGCCAAATTGGACAAAACGATCTGGATGCTGTTATGGTACCCTTATGCTTTGGCACTCTCTTTAGTCACTGGGGCGTTCGGTTTCTTTAACTTCTGCTGCTTTTGTCCTGAGCTTGAATCTTACTTGGGCCGACAGGTTTTGGGGAGTCCAGCCTGGTTCTGCTCTCTGCAGAGTTTGTATTGCGGGATTGCCTCTCATTTCTGAAACATATTTCTTTATCCTCTGTCCAGATTAGCATGGACCAGACAGTTTATTACCTAGGAGGAATTGTAACCACTTGCTGCCGGGTGGTTTGAAAAATGCAGTGCACATAATCGGTACATTTCAAGATTTTGGGTTTTTAAAATTCTTCAAAAATTCATCATTTCAATAAATGGACGTTAACACCCACATGATTGACTGTTTGGTGGCTACTCTAATCTGACAGACAAAATCTATTGACACCTGTGTATTTCAGCCAGGCCTGCAGCCTTGTAAAAAGAGCCCAGATTGTATGGTGTTATGTAACTTTCTTTTGTTCACGAACCTGGTACAGTACGCTGCTGACCTCTTCTCAATAGAGGCCAGATTAGCATGCAGCGGTGCTGTGTGGCTCATCGCTGCGGTAGTGGAGCGCTTTTGTCCCCGGTGGTAATCCACTCACTCTAAACACCCCAAACCGTGGTATACTGTTTCAAAACAAGGCTGGATTATCTCCACTATTGAGAGTGAAAAAATGTTGGCAATGCCCAGCAGCCTGGTATTTTGTTCTGAGTATGGTCTTTTGTTACATGGCCCAGTTCCCTTTGTCCGATTTCGGAGACCCCGGCCACAGGTATAAAGCGTCCGTGTCCAGTACCGGAAACCCTGGCTGCAAGTGGTTAACTCCAGTTCCAAAGTATGACTAATAATTGTAACATAGAATCCAGTGGGACATTAACAATTCCATCCTCAAAAAAAACAAAAACAATCTAGTACTTTTCGAGTACCGAATTCTCTGCCAAATATTTAATCAGTTAGGAGGAACCAAAGCTGAAGCACATGGGCATGTTATGGTACATGCACAAAGGTAAGATTACACAGTAAACTGATGAGTTCAGACTGTCACTGTTTAATGAAAATTAAGTTTTCAGGAGGAAAGTACTCCAAAAGTACTCCGCCTAGTACTTTCTTAGCACTTGTCTCCTTAAAACTTAAATCTTTACTAAACTGGGAGCATCTGAAGTCTTACGTTTATTTTGTAGCTTTACTTTTGTTCATCCGTGTATACGGTATTTTATTTACCATCAAATGCCTATGAATTCCAGCTTTATTCCCTCTTAGCCAGTTCAATATTTGGCGGAGAGCCTTGAGAAAAGTACTCGACTTCAACACTGAGAAACTCAACCTGGCAATCTTTTGTCCTGCAGTGCCTCTGAGCACTAGCACCTCCCAGCCCTCGTTGTACCATCAGCAGCCCCTGCAAATCATCTCGGCCAAGGACGATGCCTTGGGTAGCCTAACAAGAAGTAGCAGTGAGGGAAAACTAACCGAGGGAACGCACCGCTTTCAAGGTACTCAAGCGCACACTAGTAAGTTTGGACATGGCCACGAAAACTGTCTCATTTCGTAGGACCACGGTGGAGAAAACTCCATGCATACTCAGCTGCAGGTCGTCTATTCAAAACTCATTCTGTACTGAATCATATGTTCTAAAATCACAGCTGCTTGCGGTTCATCTCGGTCTTATTCATTAAAGGACCAGAAATTAATCTTGCAATTGCATGCACTTGTGGAAGCATCCAAGCCTCTAAACTGTATAAAGAATAATGTCGGTGCGCACCTTTTTCACTATTTACAATGTCAGTAGTCTTCTGTTGTATTCGAGGCCATCGCAAGTCCTTTCACAAGTCTTCCACAAGGCCAGTCATAAGTAATAGGGGAACAACTACAAAAGAATGTTTTTGGCACCAGTCATCTGAACAGCTTGCGAATTGGCTCAAGACTGAATGACTTGTGATGGCCTTACAGGGAATTGCAGGGACTTGTGATGGACTCGAATACAACACTGACGGCAAGAATAACTTTTATGAGTACACTAGAATGAGTCCTGTTGGACGCAATCCAAATCAACAAGACACTGCTGGAGAGAAGCAGCAAAAGTCTTATGTCAGAACTTGTGGATTCAACTCTGTGTTCTGAATTTTAACTCATTTTTGACTTCCAACGACGTCAGTGTTGGCAAAGAGTCTAAAGTGTGAAGATTTTTTTCCACATGCAATATGATTAAGAAATGTAACTCACGGAAACATCCATGCATGAGGTTTGCTCATGGACAGGGCCATCCACTAATTCAGCAGGGGAAAAGTAAAAAGAGAAGTGATCCTGGCAGCAATCCTTATTCTTTTCAAAGATCGTATAGCGCTGAAGGCACAAGATGGATAACTCCATCCATGGGCACCATTTGAGCAAGCGATATGCCTGCGCGGTTTACGGTAATGCTTCGGCGCAGGCTCACCAGGTGCACGTGCCTGCCGCGGCGCCTGCGCCTATGCAGTAATGTCCATTGCGCAGGCGTATTGCTTGCTAAAATGGTGCCTTTGCGATTACAACATTTTACGTGTGTTCACGGTGAAGTTCGCCATCTTGCGCCGCTACACGGCGCTATACGATCTTTGGTTCTTGCCGCTTTTGATTCTTCAGCAACTGTTGCACTGAATACCTACCTAGGGTGGCTTTGCTCACGCATGTGTAGATTTGAAGCTACATTCAAACCCCAAAAGGTCCTAAACCCCTTGAAATTGCTATTCAGAGACTGAAAACTCATGTAAATGTGACAGAAGTGTATTTCATGGATTCCATTGAAATGAAATTCTGTTGTATTTGCCCTCTCAGTCCCAGTTGCCAGGCAAGCCTCTGCGCCCGAGCCTCAACCAGCCAGCGAGCCGGGAACGAGAGAGTCCCTGAACGAGAAGGCAATGTCCCTCCCCGAGGAGTACGACGTGATGGAGGTGAAGTCCCTGACCGATGAAAACGACGTCTTGGAGTTCAAGACCCTGCCAGAGGACAAGCTCTCCCTGGACGACAAGATCTCCCTGGAGGAGAAATCCATCAAACAGGAGGGGGCAGAATTCAAGACGCCGTCCGAAGACAACTCACAGGAAGACAAGATGTCCTTGGAGGAAAAAGCAAGCAAGAACGATGAATACAGATACGGTAAGTCTCCTAAACCCCAAGTGTTAAGGAAAACTATACCGATTGTTCATATGGGCATTGGAGTTTTGCACCACAATTCATTGAATTGTGGTGTTTGCTGCGATGTATGTTACTTCAAACCTGTCAGCTAGCACCCAGCAAGCTTGATTAGGGTGCTTGAGGTTGTTGATATGAGTCCCAGATGAGCAAGATTTTGTCGACAGCGACTGCTGTGATGATGAGTCCTATATGTCAGTGCAGCTAATGAAGATACCCTTTGAATGACCTAAAGTTTAGAAGTTATTTAAGAAACACATACCAGGCCTTTTTTTGCTAGCACTAATCTGAGGAGACGATATTACTGCGGTGTCATCTCACTCGTACATGTATTCTCAAACTTGAGGCACGCATGCAGTTTGCAAGTTACGTCAACCTTTTGGTCAGAGAGGTATTCAATGCATAAGCCTACCACCTGTGTGCACTTAACAAAACAAGTTCCAGTGACGTTTGTTTACTCTGGTACGGCCGCAGTGAATTTATTCTGTATATAATTGCTGTGGGATATCAAACAGGAGAAAAAATGACAGCAGTTACTTCAATTCCGTCCTCAGTTTTTAAGAATGTCTTGAATCTCCCCAAATCATCCCACTGGCAGAAACCCGATAGTGCATCTTTGTACATCCACCTTCAAGGGGTTTTCAACCTCTTCCGTTTACTTCGTCAACTGTGCAAAATCACCTAAACCTTGAAGGATCTGGGAGGGTTAGAGCAAGTGGTTTTATTGGCAATGTCCCATACCCCGTCCCACAGAAGAGACCAAGATGGGTGAGTACCAGCTGAGCTACACCCAGACAGACACCGTCAGCATAGACAGCTCCGAGATCGCCACGCCTGACACCGCCCAGACCATACTGGACAACAACCGCCTGACGCCCACCAGTCTGACCGACATGATCGCCTCGGACATCATCACCCCGTCCCCGGCCAACCAGTCGCTGTCCAGTACCCCCTCACCGGGGACTGCCATCAATGGTGAGATCGTGGCCGGGAAGGGTTCGCACATCTATGAGCCAATCCGATTGGAGGAGCAGGACAAGCTTGACGAAGCCACATTTGAGACTGCTGGTGAGTACTTGAAATGAAGAGCATAGAGTGTTCAGTTTATTGGATATGAAATAAACTAACAATTGAAAAATTCACCTCATCAGATTTGATGACATACAAGTTCCTGAGGTGTAAATGTGTCTTGAAATTTTCAAGGTGATCGATATATAGACAGCTTCAGTGACTTTCCAGAAAGTCAAGAGAAGGGTATTTTAGCTCATCCACGATAACCCCACTCTGTTTTCCCCGTTCCCCCCCCCCTGCCAGAGAGTGTCCAGAGCCCTGATGCCAGCATCATGTCTGGGGGCACTCGGCCCGGCTGGCAGCCCGATGTGGCCTTCGTGCTATGGAGACGCATCCTGGGCTGCCTGGGCGACGTCAATGACATCCAGATTGCCCGGCTGCACGCCATGGTCATGGAGTGTCTGTGGACCACTTGGCAGCTGCTGGCAAAGGTAAGGGGAGGAAGTGGACCGTTTACATGCTGCATTTGACTCGGACGAATAGACCTTGTTCATAGCCCAAGTACATACACCTTTCCCAGTCTTTGTCCAAATGATCTGGTTGTAAAATGCTCACATGGAAGCTGTCATGTAGTGGCTCATTCTTTTCCTATGGGCTCTTAGCCTCTGTTCAACCGACGAAAGGGTGCTTCTGCTCAGGGCAGATAGGCTCGTTTGCGTTGTTTCCACCCAGAGCCAAGTAATTTGGACGTAGTCTCAGTAGACCGATCCAGTTACCCCCGGCGCCCCTGCTTACGTGGGTAGTATTAACGGTACCCCTCTCCAGTGCCACACACCATGTTCCAGCCAAGTGCATCAAATATGCATGCATGCATGCACATCAGACTTTTGTGCATGCATGTCAGGCACACGTCACAGCTGTGATTGGTCGAAAGGGTTAAATGAATCAGTCTGTAGTGCAGCGTGGCCAATTAATAACTGGTGCTGATTGGTTGAGATACCACTGCTTGTTCTGTTCTTTTGTATCCACAGATCAGGGACAACCTTGGTGTGAGTTCCGACAACCAGAACACCCCACCACCACCTGAATACATTCCACCTCTCAGGATTCTCTCTTCTTGGCTCTTTAAGGTGACAGCTCAGTTTGTTTCTGATCCATCAACAGAAGCACTAACAGAATCTCATAAATTGCTGTAACATTAGCAATGGTTCTCTCAAGGGTTGCGCTTTGCTTGCGTTCTTCCCATCTCAGTATCAAAAATGGATAGTATTTTTTCTCTTGCACTAAAATTGTTTTGCCTCGTGACTCTTTTAGAAGTGGTCAAAAATGAATGTTGAGAATTTCTGTGTGTTTGTGTAGTTGCGAGGTAGCATTGAGAAAAGACACAGGCAAGTTATGTATTGGTTTTGTCAGTTCAATAGTAATTATAGAATGTATATACCTGTTGTTTATTTTTGATTGCATTCTTGGTAAGTAAAAGCTCATTTATAGTTAATTCTGCTTGTTATGTTACTGATTGATCCTTAGGGAATGATGTAAAAGCTAGCTGAAATTTACCCACACATTTTAGATATTTAGGCAGTCTTACATTGATTTTTTTTCCAGACTAAATCACTTTTGATTAATCACAAGACTTCAGGGCAAGCTCTGGCAGAGACTTGTAAAGGATGCCCACAAAGACAATGGCACAAAGACACCAGACAAGTCCTGAGGTGAATGTTGGCGACCTAACACTTGCCCTGAATCATGTGACGTTGCAAATGCTGACTTTGCAACTCTGGTTCTTCATACACATGTTGGCACAATTTTCTTCCTTCACAGGCTGTGCATTTATCAGATCGTTACCAGCAAGGTAGGCTGTCGGCCTACAAACTCCTATGTGCAATGACGACGAGGAAACAAGACCACCCTTTACCCAGGGACCATCTGACCCACTTCTATAGGGTGCTGCACTACGGCCTGGTCGGAATGGACCAGGTGAGTTTTAGGAAGCACCCAGAAATCCTCTGTTGAATTCCTCTGATTTAAAGGCTGTTGTTGCAAACGAGCTACTTTAAGACAGGTGGCGTCTGTGTAACTATAGTTCTAAGGACGTGGTTACGTCATTGGGAATGCCATCCCGTTGCATCAAGGTTCCTCATGGGTACCCTTGACTACAAAAGGAAAATTATGTCAAATAGTAATATTGCCCTGGGAAAAAGTCTCCTGAAAATTCTGATTTGTGCCGTATCTGACTGAAAATTTAAGATTTTCCTTCTGAGCGTCACTGCAAAATCTGTGACCATGTTGTATTGGGATGCGGTGTGTATGACGCATAATTCCTCCTACAGTCACTGACAGCAGTACCTGCTGCTTTGTGAAATTTCAAGCTGGTCGCCTATCCCTGAATGCTCTGTGGTCAAGTGATTAGGACATCTGTTCTCATGAGCAGGGGGTCATGGGTTTGAGTCCCAGTGCAGTGCTTATTACGGATCTCAAACCGAAAATCAAAAACTAACTTAATCCTTTGATGATTATTTCTTCCTGTGCCTGCCAGGAGGTGATCAACACCATCATTCAGTACAGCGCTCCGGATTTCTTCTCCTGCGGCCTCCCTGGGTCAACCCTGCTCATCTTAGATTACATCCAAGCTGCCAACATGATTGCATCCCACCACAACCTAGACGTATGTTAAACTGGCCCCAAAGTATCTGTCCGGTTGTTCAAAGACCACAAGCACATCATGCAGGATTGCAGTGTGATCATTTACATTCCCACCTTACATCTAACAAAACTCTTCATGAGTTGCAGATTTTATGGAGTCCGAAAATGATATCTGATCAGTGGCTTTCACAGTTACCGAGGATTTCATGCTCAAGATTGCACTGGGCAGTCAAAATGGGACTAACCTCATAGCGTTGCATCACGAAGCCAAAGTTCCTTTCATCTGGGAGATTGTGAGCAGTATGGGTAATCCAAAACATGCTGAACTCACCAGTTCCTGAGTACATGCTACTTAGCACCTCTTATGATTTAATAGATTAGCAGAGTCTTTCTGTCTGAATGAACACCTTTTTTTTCTGCCAGCCATACGCATTTACAGGATAGTGTTCTCAGCAAAATTTGGGGCATGTTGAATTTAACATCGGTACTTTACCAAGTTTGAAGTATAAGTGGGGAAAGTCATGCTTTGTCTAGGCATTCAGCTCATCTGAAATAATGTAGCATTTATCTTTTCAGTGTGCGGGCTGTCCGTGCAGAGATACCCAATGGGACTCGGTGCTGAATTTGTTGTGTGCCTGGCAGAAGGTCGTAAGCGTGCTTACGCCCTCTTGCCCGGAAGCATGATCACAGTAGAAAATGTTCTGGTAAAAGGGTGTACACTCTCTGTATTTAGTAAAAACGGATAAAATTGACTACAAAATCAACACAGGCTGTGCAAAAAGCAACCTTTGAACAACTTACCAAACGACTTGGGAAATTTTTTGTTACTAGTTGCAAAGAAATCTTCATATTTCATCAAAATAAAACAGTTGCAGGCACACATCCTTTTGCCAGGAAAATCTTTTTTTTGCAGCGATTATGCTTCATGGCAAAAGTTCGTAACCGTTTACGATCTTCTTCCAGGCACCCGATGAATTGTTCTCATTCCGCTGTCCTCAACGCTTGTTTCTCCTCTCCTCTGTTTTTCTTGTCCGCAGGCACCGAGGATAGAAGCGTTATCCCTGCTAGGCTCCTTGGTCTGTTTCCCCAATCTCTTCTGCAATATCACCGTGCTACAGCCATCACCCAAAGATATCAGCACCATGCAATGCAAGGATGTCAAGGTACAGTGCCAGGCTGTCGTTGCAGATTGCAGTGGTGTTATGTAATAAAAGAGACCCACAGACAGGCTTGCGTGTTCGGCACCAGTGCATTTCAGACCCGGCGTTGGAGCAGTGTTGCAGGTTTGACCAGTCTGAAGGTCCATTTGCTTTAGCATGAGTGCGTGTGGAGTCCTCCGGCATCCATGGACCATGGCGAGGGCTTCTAGCGGGTATCGCTCCAAACATTGTGATGAAGTTTGTTTGTCACGAAAAATCCTTGTTTTCAACTAAAACTAACACTGCATCTGGAACAAGCATGCTATCAGCAGGTGGTTAACCACTTGCTTCTGGGGTTTCCGGAACCGGGCACCTTGGGTTTGTATTCATAAGTGGGGTAACCGAAATCGGACAAAAGAGCTGGGCTATGTATGAAAGACCATACTCAGAACAAAAGACCCAGCTGCTGGGACTTGCTTTCATTTTTCAGTCGGCATTAGCAGAGGTAATCCATCATTGTTTTGAAACAGTATACCTCTGTTTGCGGCATTTAGTACCAGTGGATTTATTTCATGTCCATGTTGTGCGTAGGCTTCACTGTGCACTTCCGTTTTACCAGATTTTTTTAACACCCACAGCTGCATATGTTACAGCAAGCCTTGTGCCCTCTGCCTAAAAGTTTTCGATAAACAATCCATCCTGTCTTGCAGGACCACCTGATCAAGGTGTTGATCAAATGCAGTCGCAAAGAGCCAATGTGTGAAGCTCGCTGTATCGCCCTCTGCAGTCTGGGCATCTTCCTGTATGAGGAGATGGCTCATGTTACATTCCATCCCCGGTCCAGGGAAGCCATCAGTGTACTTCTTGCCAGTCTAAAGGTATTACGGATTGGTAGTACCCCCTCTCCCTTCCCTGAGTTGCAGTCACAAAGCTTGTGGAATATTGTGGTCTTGTATAGTCACTTTTGCCTGTACATCTCACAGACTGGAACTTAACGCTGATGTTGGTATTATATATGAGTTTGGCCTGCATCAATACATCGTGCAGTGCGTTACTTAGAGGTTACCATGGAGATGCTGTTTCTTTACAACTCACGGAGGAAGTTAACATCAACCTTGGCACATGAGAACCACGCAATTCCCAAATGGCTCACTGAGTTACATTTGTCATTAAGGAGCTAAATCAATCACAGACAAATAATTTTCATCCACACTTGAATAGTTTCTCTTGCTGTAACTACTCCAGGGTTGACTTCTTTTCAGAACCCTGTCATGCCAGCCTACCTTGCTGACTCTTTATCGTCGTCATTCACCTCCATGTTGTCTGATTTCTGATAGTTTCAGAGTCGAATGGTTGCCCAGGTAGCGTGTGATATGCTCTTGCTCCTGGCAGACCACGCAGAGATGATGAGAAGACATAACAATGAAGCACCCAAGAAGATCATTGAGGTCAGTAGAGTGTTGGCCAAAAAAACAAGCAGCTTAAGCCTGTCAGAACGGTTTGGTGGAAATTTTTAAACAGTCTTCCCTAAATTTACACGTTGTGCCGTAATTCATGGTCATGCGTTTTTAGTGGCATGTGAAGGTTAATGCATGCTTCATCTAATCCATAATGGACTAACATGACATTGACAGTTGTAGAGTTCAGGTGACTTTGGCTCTTATCCTTATTATTTGGATTTTCTCTTAGATTTAGTATTTTTTAATAATTACTTCAAGTTTTTTTCTTTCATGGGCATCAGTATGACTCAGTTTTTTCTCTCATACTTTTAGGTTATAGCGATGACAATTACCAGTTTGCTCTCCAATGCCGAGTTTGCCGAAAATGAAGACAACAAAAAGGTGTGTTAGAATACAGAAGCCAGAACAAGGTGTACGTTGATTGTTACTTAACAATTACCACACGCACGGGGGTCGGCAGGAGTGCTGTCCTCTGTCATGACGGGCATGACACCACAGAGTTGATTCAGTTGTTGTTCACTGTCAAACTGATGCCACTGACTGGTGTTTGTTTGTCTAATAGTTGGTTGTCTCCATGCTCTTCTGCCTCTTGGAGTGGTGCATGGCAGTCCCTTTGACTGCTCTCCTAGAGGTCAGCGAAGGACGCTCTAAGAAAGATGCCAAGATTCTCCTGGAAACAGTTTTCAAGGTAAGTCTGAAACAGTTTTCGAGGTAAGTCTGAAACAGTTTTCAAGGTAAGTCTGAAACAGTTTTCGAGGTAAGTCTGAAACAGTTTTCAAGGTAAGTCTGAAACAGTTTTCAAGGTAAGTCTGAAACTCGAAGTAATTTGGAAGACAGAAATCTCTTTCTTGCCTCACGAACACTTTGCATGTGAACCACGAAGATGATCTTCTCATGTTCATGAGTTCACTTTTCGCACCATAGATGACGGTGAATATTTCATTTTCTCAAACCAGGTTCTTCAGAATGCCGCAGAAGGTGTCTCAACCAATCAGAGGACAAGCGTCAATTTTTCGGAGCTCGCCTCGGCCGACTACGACCCGCACGTCAGTCTGGAGACTGTGAGAGATGGCCACTCCTTTGGCGGAAAGAGCCCCTCCCAACTGGAACCTCTGGACCAGGTGTTTGAAGATGGTGAGTTGTCTTGTGTGACAAGTGCCGATCTTAATGTTGACTGCATTACTTAAATAGTCATTCTAGATGGTGTAAGTCAGAGTGTTTGAAATTCAAATGTACAAATTAAACTTCCTGACTAATCTTGATTGTTGTTCAGCCCGTCTCTGTTCTACTTACAAGTTCTACCAAAATCTACCTTTAGAGGATAATGAATCGTGAAATTTGCAGACAATTGGAGAGTTAATGCTGAAGTCTAAAAGTAACTATTGTGAAAATCCTGATCGTCCTCGTCTGAGTTGTTCTTCGTGCCCAGCAGGTCCTAAATGCTGTGTTCATTTTGTTATTGCAGCCGAGATGCAGTCTGTTCAATTCAGCGTGCCCTCAAGCAAGGTTGTCAGGCTGGCTGCAAAGACGGTATGTGCTTGTTGCACCATTCTGGCCAACAGGAAACCATTGCAATACTCCATTGTTTTCCAAAGTGTAATCGTAATGCTGTTCTTGGTGAGGATCAAAGGCCGAAGAGAAATAACTTAGCCCCCAAAATGATTTCTAACCCAACAAACTAATTTTTGTGGGTTCTTTTTTAGTGGTTATAGGGACATGAACTTTGTAATTCTGTCCTACCCTCAAACAGATGTGTTCCTTGGTAAGTCAAGAGGTGTTTATTTCAAGTGATTGGCAGTTGCAACAAATGCCATAAGACTGTATCTCTGATGGAAGATAGTCGAAAATATCTGTTCTGTCAGAGTAGGTTGCAGTTCGGTTACCCATGCTATCTGCATTGTCTTACAAAGTGTGTGGTTTTTATCCTTCATCGTTCAGGTGATGTGTCATCTTATCAACCATCTCAGTCACTTCCCCCTTGGGGGTGGGCCAGCCCTCATCACTTCCCTCGCCAATGAGCTCGACGACCTGTCATTCAACGGCGACCCCGACGAAACCTCCTCGGCGCTCTTCAATTCGCCCAACGTCCAGTTCTTCATCTTCAATAATTCGTCACTCATATCGTTTGCACAGCTGTCGGATGAGGTACGCATGTCATAAAGGCATGTCTTAGTGCTAACACACTCTACATACACCGCCCTGTTTTTCAGTCTTGAAAAGGCAGGCTGTGTTTTCCCTACAGCACCCTCCACACTGGAGAAACTGCTTAAACCAAAATTGATTATGCATGAGCTTGGGCGCAAACTTCCACCAGCGTGACTTACTGTTTTCCCCTGAATTTGTCACCTTTGATGTCTTATGCCTTGATGCTAGTTTAAGTCTCCGCACAGTATGCAGTTGTATAAATGCTCTGAGCGCCACCTGCTCTGAGTGCCACCTGCTCTGAGCGCCAGTCAAATTGACTCTCAAATGTTGTGAAATTAGCTTCTTGGTAAAGAGATTTAGTGCATGTTTCCACCAGTTTCTTTGTACCTGTCATTTCGTCCCATTACTCCAAAGGTATCTGCTTTGGTTTATAAACCCTTGCAGCCCATTTTTGGCTTCTGTCTTGTCTTAGATTTCATTTGCCTTTATCTCATTCTTTTTATTCAAATTAAATGCCATTGAACAAGACGAGCGCCACAGAAAGTCTTGTGATGCTTAATTTCTCCCTCTTTCTTGGCATCCAGTTTTCCATCTGTTGCTGAAGTCATTAATGATGATGCCAATTTCTGGGTTTTTTTCTAGGAGCTTGCTCCTGACTTGAGCGGTAGCCTGACCACGGCCAATTCCCACGCTCGCATCGTCGTTCGTAACGTAGGAGGCAAGTTTGTGTGGGACACCAGTATCCTGTATGGCCCAGGAGAGAGCAGAGTACAGAGAGTGCCAGGTCAGTACATGGGCGTCGCCGGAAAGTAGCAGATGGAAGGGGGGGGGAAGCAAACAGACAAACCAAACAGTGGAAGGGGATGGATATTCAGGTGCTTTCATCCAGGTCAAGGTTTCTCATTTCATTTTTTTTAGATGAGGGGACAGCATCCCCCTTTCCCCCTCACAGTGTTCATGGCGCAGTACGGCCGATGGATTGGTTGTATCCGATACTTGCCCAAAGTATATTACTTGTCTTTAGTGCTCTGCCTTGTTTTATTTTTGTTCAAATTCAGATCCTTTAAATTTAGCTCTCTGTACTTTGTTGTTCATTTGTTGACTCAAATGATTCGATTTTCCACTAAGCTTCTCGTGGAAGCTGATTGGATGTGCAACCTCAAACTCGAACATATTTCAACCTGGCTTCTTTGCAAGTTTTTGCAAGGACAGGAACAAATGGAATCTGTCTAGGGTTTTTGTATAATGTTAATTAATGCTCTGTATGGTTTAAGGGGGGGTTTTCCAGTAGTTCCAATCCTCTGACTACATTTGCCATATTTGTGCATGGAGGCAGCAGAAGACCTAACATTTAGATTGAGTCTGGATTTTCCCATCGGAGGGATTTGGAACGTGAAATAACTCAAAACTGCTTGAGGATATCCCATTGAAGAGAATATGAAATTTGTAAAGCATGCAGGAATCAGCACTGGGACATCACAGCGCAGAGTTGATATCAAATTCACAAGGACTGGAAACTATCTCTTGCACGGAAAATATCCCCTGTTCACAATTGCGATCAGACCTTTTGGATTAAAAGGGTAATAGTGCCGTTATTCCTTAAAGTGCAATTACTGTAGCATGTTCTGTTTTGTTTCTGTGAACAGAACCACAGCGCAGACCTAGCCAGAGCAACAGTGTGTTTCAATACACCACCTCCACTAAGAGCAAGTCCCCAGTCTACAGAATACTCAACAAGTCTGTCAGCCGCCTACCATCTTGGATTGATGTGGATGACTCCCTTGATGTCTTGGATGAGGTATGTGCCTTTTTTTGGGGGGGGGCTTTTACGGTTGGTCAGAGAATCCTTTCTACAAAAATGCAACTCAACAAAAGCTCAACATAAATGTGTTAACCAAACCAACTCATGAGGCCAGAAGCAGGTGCATTTTGTACTGATTGAGTGTTCTCAGAAACTTTCCACATCTTAAAACTCTGTAATGCAGTTACAACCATTTTCAACCTTCGTACGTCCGCCCTAATATAACACTTCTAGTGTGCACTTGCAGATTTACGTGTTAGTAAATCAGCACCCTCTCTCCCGGTTCTAACAGCCATGTTTTGCTTCTGTGAATATTAAAGCGGTGTTGGATCTGACAAGATTATATATTTCCTCACTAGCAATATCATTTGAACTAGTGTCAAATCCATCCAAACTGAGGAAACCAGCATTGGTAGATATTGTTTGTGGCTTGAGAGCTGGGCAGGTGTTCTGACAGCATCGGGAGACTGCAAATTATATATCTTGCAGTTGGAACGGTAGTAGGCACTGAAATTCCTTGCAGGTTCTGTCCTTGCCAAAGTTCTGATCGTTGTTCTCAAGATGTACAGCTCCGCATGCTTGAATCTGTTGCTACATGGAAGAGGTCTTGTGGCACTGCTTTTATTCCTTCATCCAGTGAGTTCAATTTCGAATCTCTCTCTCTCATATATGCTACAGCTCCAGCAGTTCATTGGCTTCACCAGTCCGGAGTGCCTGCTGAATCCAGGCGTGCCCCTCAACTTGGTCTCCCCAGCTCCTGAGGAGATTCCCCAGGAGCTTGAGAGCAGTGCCATTGCCTCCCTGAAGAAGCAGAACAGCAGTGAGGAGGCTTACGTCAGTAAGCATGGAGAGGACTACAGGTACCAGACCCTTGATGTTGTGCAAGCCAATGGGGATTTGGGGCTTTGTCTGAATCATTTGGCTAGTGGCTATGACTTGATGTAATATGTATGTCTATGTTGTTCACTGGTTAGAAGCTATAGCCATTTTCAATATGGGAGATTCACCATACAGCAAGAATTTGCCATAGAAAGTGTCTTTAGGGTAGCAGTTTTTGATCCTTCTCTCTATTGCATGGATTGTCCCAATCTATCAAAAGTTAAGGGATCGGCTTAATTACTGAATTACTATCAGTTTGTGAGGTAGAAAGACTGCCTAATTTTTACGCTGGATATCATGCACATATGATTGTAAAGTAGCCTCAGTTTAACCTGTACAATATGCATCAGTTTTGGTGGGGCAGAAAGTAGACGATTTTTGCAAGCATTCACAGAGATAGTCAGGTGAGGGTTTATATGTGGACCAAAAGAATGGTTACTGATGGTGGTTTTTTTTTCTGTTGTTCAATTCCATTTAGTATGGTGACGGAGCCACTGATCCAGACCCCACACCAGGAGCCTACCTCACCGTTCAACATGTGCCGTCAGTTACTAGACCAGCTGGGTGTCATGACATGGGATAGGAGGTAGGGCTGTTATCCTTAGCATTTGTGAACCGGTCAGAAGCAAAATGCAAAACCTGGCTTTTTCTCTCTTTTTTGAATTTTGAAGTGTTGATGAAATCTGTGAAGCATTTGTAAGCAAACAACATCATGATCACCAGTGGAAACACATTAATAAGTTTGAGTTTCAGAAATTCACGCCAGCTGGGATCTTTGACCCTTGAGAATATTTACAACTCTAGCACTATGATCTACAATGATTTGATTTTTACCTGGGCCTGACTTTGATTTGTCAATCACAGATCCCAAATCAACGTGGTGAAGAAGAATGATCGTTTGTTGAGAGAACTCAAAAATCTGGATTCCAGACAATGGTGAGACATCCAAGGGGCTTTTTATTTTTATTCCACTTCTGTTTGCTTCTGTGGAGAGCAAGATATCAAAGTGATTTTTGAAAAACTTTGTGAAAGGTTGACAGCAGTGTCTGGTTATTTTGACATAAATTTAAATTTGTTTATCATTTCAGTTCTGATTTCATGCCGTTTGTAGTTTGGTTCGTTTTCTTGCCAAATGTCTGTATGGGAAATATTAACATAGTTTATTTGTTTCAAATTTCTGCAGTCGCGAGACGCATAAGATAGCCGTTCTTTACGTTGCCGAAGGTCAGGAAGACAAGATGTCGGTGCTGGGGAATGATCGCGGAAGCCAGGCGTTTGAGAACTTTATTGCAGGACTAGCCTGGGAGGTAAGACACTAGAGTTTTTATGAACACTTTGTAGCCATTATGTAAGAATAAAACCAATTTCAAATTCTTTTTTAAAATTAAAATTTGTCCTTGTGATTAAAGTTATTAATTAAAAGATAAAAACTAGAAAAAATTTTTCTAGTTTACCTTAATAGTTAAGTGCTTGTTACACATCCTGTCTGATTGCGTTTCAGTTGCCATTTTCCAAGTTGGCAGCATTACTAAATTGCGTCGGCGGGAGTGGTGTTTATTTCCCCCTCCCACTGTTTCACCAGGAGTAAAATATTAGCTTGTTTATGTTAAATCTGACTGTGGACACCAGATTGCAAAAGCGTGACATCTTTGCCTTTTGTTTTGTTCGTTGACTTCAGGTTGACCTTTCAACTCATCAAGGCTTCCTGGGTGGTCTGCAGCGTAATAAGAGCACAGGGGAGACGGCGCCCTACTACGCCACCTCTACCGTGGAGGTCATCTTCCATGTGTCCACCCGCATGCCCTCTGAAAACAACCTGTTGCACAAGGTAAAACTGGATACGGCGCCTGCATTCACTAAAACTATCCCAATGACATGCTGAGATCGTGTGTGTTAAACATGGACTTGCAGTTCGGGCTTTAGTTTGGTGTAGTTTTGTCGAATGTTGCTGGACTTGGTTTTGGTTTAGTTTTACTGAGAGTGAACTGTGTTCAGTATTCTGCCTCAGATTTGTAGTTGCTCATGTCAGATATCTAATAACCCAATGTATAAGTGCTGTGTATCATATCATTGCCTTTGAAATGTTGTTTGACTATCACAAACCAAAAAAGGAGACTCTCTTCACCATTATTATAGTGGAGACATCACAAGATCATTCACAAGACCAGTCACAAGTAAGGGAGTGAACAATGATTAAGTTATGATTTTGTTGCAGTTCATTTGAATTCAGACTTGAGGTCTTTTGCTGGTCTTATGATGGTCTTATGCTGGTTTTATGCTGGTTTTATGCTGGTCTTATGATGGTCTTATGATGGTCTTAATAGGTCTCAACTACGACACTGTCCTTCACATGGTGATCTTCAACAGTTGACAATATTAGTGTACTTTGCTCTTGATTACTGGAAATTCTAGTTCTATCTTCATAGGTACTCATTTTGCTTTCCCGTAGAAATATGCCTAGTATTGATTTTTGGCACATGTCAAGTACTTGTGCTCCCAATTGATCCTATCAGTGTGATGTAATATAATCAAACCCATCATGTGGTCTTTGTAGATCCTGGTAGAGCCCAGTCTTCATGTAACCCCCCCCCCAAGTAAAACTACAAAGAATGTTTTCCATTATGAGGATTTGGGGATTCAAGCAGGTTCCTGTTATAAATGTCTTGGAAGGATGTAGATTTATAGATAAAAACTTCGAGCTTGAAAATGAAATGATCATTGTTAAAGTGATGATGTTTAACCATATGCTGCTGGGGAACCCGGTTTCAGGTACCTTGGGTTTGTTCGCATAGCCGGGGTGCCCGAAATCGGACAAAAGAGCTGGGCATTGTAACTAAAGACCATACTCAGAATAAAAGACCCGCCGTTGGGAATTGCCATCATTTTTCAGTTGCATTTATCGGAGGAAATCCGTCATTGTTTTGAAACAGTAAAACACTGTTTTCGGCATAGCGCACCCACGGATTATCAGTGGGGACAAAAGTGCTCCAGCTCCCCATCGATGTGCTATACAGTACTGGTGCACGCTAATCCAGCTGTGTTTGAAAAGATGCCACTGTTTTTTACTGGGAACTAAGGAAATTATGCAACACCTCACAATTCTGGGCTCTCTTTACTGGGCAGCAGGCCTGGCTGAATTACTTGGGCGTCAGTGGGGGTTGCCTGTCGGATTAGAGTAGCCACCAGACAGTCATTCATGTGGGTGTAAACGTCCATTAAATGAAATTGTGAATTTTTGAAGAATTTTGAAAACAGAAAATTGTCCTTATATAGGCACTGCATTTGTAAAAGCACTCGTCAGGAAATGGTTAATGTCGTGAGTCATTTTGCTTGCCGCCTCTGAAACAGGAGATTATATTTCAGTAATTGGTTGTTTGCTGTGTCCTTTTTTTTTTCAACTGAAGATGCGTCACCTTGGCAACGACGAGGTACACATCGTCTGGTCGGAACACACCAGGGATTACCGGCGGGGGATCATCGCCACCGAGTTTGGCGATGTCATCATTGTCATCTATCCCCTAGAGAACCAACTGTTCAGGATACAGATACAGAGAAAGCCAGAGGTAGGTCAAGATAACACTTAGTGGATTATTTTAGGGTGGCTTTTATTGTCACTGTCACTGAGAAATCATCTGTGTCAGAAAAGATAACGATCGTTGCACTGAGGGAAATCTGCTCTGTTCCTCTGATCAGCTTGGTTGATGATCCGACCGATCTTTAGTGCTTCCAGATTTTGAAATGGGTTGATTCTTATAATGGTTTTGTCTGTCTCAGTGAGCTGGAAATGCCCCCCCAGCATTTAATGAGCCTTGGAAATAGTGTGTCATTATATCCCCATGCATGGGCCCTTTGTCCCTTTGTTTTTGTGATTTAGGCTTGTGAAAAGTGTTGCTTTCATAATATAAACAGTCGACTCTCAGTAATACGAGCTCAGGTAAGACGAGACTCCGGTTTAGACGAGTATATTTTGCCAGTCCCGACTGAGCTGTGCACATCCCTATGAGGGAAAAAATTCATAATACAAGCTTGGGTGTTGCGAGATTTCAGTTAGGATGAGCATTTTTTGCGCACCGGCTGAGTGCAAATCTCTTGTTATCTGTCCATTTAGCACGAGCTTTTTTGAAAGCAACTTGTCGATCAGCCAGTCCATTCAATTTTGAAAGGTGATTTTGTAATTTGTTTGTCTACAGTAGTAAAGCACTGTGGTTTTCCCTCACTGAATCAAGCCGTTTGTGTCCGGTGCAGCAAGAGAGACAAACAGTGGGCATTTGACCCAACAAAGAAGTTCTTTGTGGCGGCTCTCGTACCACCTGAACACAAGCGAGTGCCACCAAAAGCGCTACGATATTTAGGAGAGTGGTGAACAAAACAAATCTTTCGTTTGATTCCCCCGTCCCAAAAAAGTCCCCAAGATCAAAGTCCCGCTAGGAAACTAGAAAAAATTGTGTTCCATAACCAAACAGTGAAAAAGGCCCGCCCCCATCAAAAAATTGTTACCCGCTCCCCACCGTAACATGAAAATTTTACCCCATCCGATTTTGAAATTTCTGCAAAGTCTCAATTTAAGAAAATCATTACTAAACCTTGGTTTTCAGTCCAAAAATGTGAAAGAAAATAACCTTCACAAGTTTTGAAGAAAAAAGTGCATCCCCCGCTAATAATTTGTCACCACACCCCCCACACCTTTCCAAAGTAACATGTGATATTTGCCCTCTAATGTCCACACCACCAATAGCTGGTTTTCACCCATTTTTATGTGCAACAAGTGCAGCTCTGGTGTTGGTTACCAACTGAAATGCTAATGTTCTTACGTTACATGTGTGCGTGTGGATCTCATCCCGGCGGCAGGGGATGTGTGATATGGCATCCCTTTGGGCCGACTCGACATGACTGGTGGAAAGTCCTCTCCCTCCATTCTGACATTTCAGAATAATTCTTTATTACAAGTCTTTGTTCATTAAACTGTACACATACATCTCACTTTCATAAACAAACTTTTAAAAATCAAATTCATACAACAAAACGTACGTGCATTTAAACAACAAGTCATGCATTGGTCCTACTTGTATGCTGTACCCTTTACCTACGGTTGATTGGTGATACATATGTCAAGCGGAACGGCAGTTTTCACATAAGATTAGGTCCGGATAATACGAACTAAGTTTGTAAGTCCCAAGGCCCTTGTAATAATCACTTCCTGCCGGGTGGAATTTGTATATGCGGGATGAGTTGCCGAGCAATTTTCAAGATTTTCCACATTTAAGTTTAATTCTTTAACAATTCATTACTTCATTTACTGGACGATAACACCCACACAAATGACTGTCTGGTGGCTACTCTAATCTGACAAGCACCCTCATTGAAGCCCGAGTATTGCAGCCAGGCCTGCCGTCCAGTAAAGAGAGTCCATATTGTGAGGTGTTGCATAATTTCCTTTGTTTCCAAAATTAGCCCAGTGCGTTGCTGAATGGCCGTGGTGTCTTTTCAAATGCGGCCAGATTAACATGGAGTGTGGTGCTGGAGCACTTTTGTCCCCGCTGATAATCCACGGGCTCTGAATGCCACAAACAGTGGGATACTGTTTCAAAACAATGACGTATTACCTCTGCTAATGCCAACTGAAAAATGATGGCAATTCCCAGCAGCTCAGTCTTTTGTTTCGAGTACGGTCTTTTGTTACGAGGCCCAGCTGCTTTGTCTGATTTCAGGCACCCCAGCTATGCGTATGAAGCCGATGTCTCCAGTACTAGGCATCCCATAGGCAAGTGGTTAACGAGAGTCGACTGTATCTAGATATCTGTGCCGAAAATAATTTGCACAAATATAAATTAAAGTTTTATTTTTTATTCGTCTCCTGAATCCCATTTCCTTTTACTTCCCATTTCACTGTTGTTTGAGGAGCATTTCTGCATACAATATACACTGAACTTGTGTTTCATTTGACAAATACCAAGAGTTCACGGCAGAAATCCAATAAGGGTAGAACATAAGTAGAAATAAAACAGTTATACAGATTATCCTTAGAAGCTTGTCTTCCCAATCAATTTATGCTTGTATAAAAATATCTTGTTTTGCCGTTGTTCTTATGAGCTAATGGCTCTGGACCCAATCATGTGATTTACCCCTCCTCCATGATAACCCCAGCATCCCTATTGAAGAATCACAGCATTCAATTCATGACATCATGTTCCCCCCACAATTGCCTCTTCAGGTTCCATTTTTCGGACCTCTGTTTGACGGTGCAATCGTTGACCACAAGGTCTTGCCAGGTCTGGTCAGGGCGACAGCCATCAATGCCAGCCGCGTCAAGAGATCCCAGCTCCCCCTCTACCAGCGATAGTATCCTTTTCATTATTTAAGCACATGTTGGAAACGTTCTTGGAATCTTGCAGCTCAAGGTAAGACCTTCCAGATTTTCAAGATTGTTTTCTCCGACTAATCAGTGCTCTTTGCATTGCCAATCATCCGTTTACAACGGGCATGGAGCCGTTCCCGAGATCCGCTGATACCCCTTGTTTTTATTTCCTTAGATGTTATCACAAGTTGGAAAACACTGGAAAGAGTCTTGTGCAACTTAAATGTTTCCCATCGGGCCCACGCATATCCTAATAAAGAATTCTGATGTGACTTCATTTTAATTTGTCTGTTACAAAATCAGGATACAGGTGGTTTGTGGGAAATAAAACCTGTAAAATTTTAGTTTTTTTTGGGGGGGGGTTGTTTGTTCAACTGTCTTTTCATTGTTCCATTGTCTTTCCATTGTTCATTTGTTTTTTTTGATAATGCAGTAGTTTTGAGGGTATTGCTATTCACACAACCAATTTAATCAATAAACCCTGGCTCTACCATGTCAACTTGCAGATAAGAATTACCTTAAAAGCAGTGCTTCCACCATGTCCATTTTGGTTGAGATAGCCGTTTTGATGCCAATAGCAATAAGAAGCTTCTATGAATACATACATAATTAATTCCAAAAAGGCCTTAATGCTAAGTATCGAGGACAGCGGTTTATTGTTACTAATGGAAGAGTTTCATAGACACTGTTTGTTCATTGTTTATATCTGTGATAAAGAGCTTATACATTGACTTAATGAATTTTTCATGGCTGTCTTTCATGAAGGCTCGTATGCGTCACAGCATTGCAACAGAACAAATCGATTACTGATTAGACATCACACATCGTGCACATATTTGTACACCGTAGGATTGCATGGTCTTCATTTCAGTGTTTCTTGTTGGTGGAGAAAAGTGTCCTTTATGGCATCATTCCAAAATTGCGTCCATGGCCTGAGGAGCATGCTGTCCAAGTACATGTGAATTGCTAGCTCCACAGTATTGTTGATGGCCACATTAATGCCCTGTGCTGCCAGATGTGTTTGCTGCCCCCACGTGTCCGTGGCTGTCTCTGCCAAAGATGTACATGTCGTCCCACAGCATGTGAATGGTCAACAACTGCAACAATTTGGACCCTTGCCAAGTCATTTTTTGGGGGTCGTTGTATTTCAAATGAAGCTTATGCAAAATCAATTTCTGCACAGGAAATGAAATTTTTTTTGTTATGAATGAGGAACTCCTTTGAGTTTCACTTGTGAAAGAAAATTGAAATGAGACCCCAAAAAACTGTCTCTGAAAAATGCACTCTCTTTGTTACCTCTGTAAACAACCACTGGCACTTTCATTTATTATCTAGTACAGTCATAGTCACACGGATCTGTGCTAAAATGGAGGAATTTAATAGTTCTTTTAATATTTCATGGAAATTGTGAAAAGAAAAAAGTGCAAAGGTTGGACACAATGGCTTCCATTATTCCAACAGAATAATGGATTTCGCTTGGCCGTCACATTTAACCACTTTCTGACGGTGGTGAGAAGTGGTTATTTTGCATTCACATAGGCCTGTCTGCGCGAGTTCTTCACTTGGATGGGTGCATGCTTTGAAATTAGGTCCAGTGGGACTGTAATAATTTTCCTAATCACTTCAATATGTTTTTGTCAATTTTCAAATGGGGGGATCTGATGCAATTTTTTTATTTCTTTGATTTTCATCCAGGTATAAATCATAATATTTTGGTAAGTTTATTGTCTCAGGTTTGCGGCTGTTTCTAAATATTGTAGTGATTTCCTCACAGCAAATCCAAAACCGACACGAAAACCCTCCTTAGCTTTCAACTGTAATTGAGTATATTCACCTCTAGCATGGTGGGTGTGCACAAGTTCCCCAACTTGATCTGGCCATGATGAATTGGCCATTTTCATCCATTACTGCCTGAAAGGTGCATGTTGCAACGCTCCGCAGTTTTCTTTTAAAAAAAGAAAGAAAAGAAAAAAGGGATCACCAAGTGCTCATCTGTCATCACAGTGCACTGTCAAAGTACATTATTTCCCCCCCCCTCTTCCACATGCCATGTGCTGTCCAAACACATGTTCAATTGCTACTGTGCCATCTGGTACTTGGTCACCTGATCAGGCCCTGATAGACTGAATCAGCGTCAGAGTCAGGTTTCCCTTTTTTTCCCCCTCTAAATGACCACTGATGATTCACTTTCTGTTGGCATTAGAAATCTAATCACAAAGATAAACCATCCCCACCAAAAAAAAAGCCAGAGAGGGGATAACATATGAAAAGGTCATCGGAAATGGAACTTGTGCTCGGAAATGTAATTGCTTTGCTTTTTTTTTTTCTCATGAATCCAATTTTGGATAGAATAACAGGCCATGTATTGTTTTCCGCCCTTGCATTTCTATACAAAGACACCAATATTGATTTGTATTTGCCACAAAGACATTAAGTGCAAGCACCACCAACCGGCCCGTCCTGGGGCGTCAAAGATGTCAGTGGAAGTATGTTGTATGTCAATGCGTTTGAGGATCAACCATGCATCTTCACAGTGGACTGATGTTATGGTATAAATCTATTAATAGGCATTTCTACATGTAGGAACATTTGTGCATCCAACCCCCCCCTTGCAAAAATCTGTTAATAAATTACGAAAGGTATAAAAGAAACAGCCCAGTCACTTAGAATTTACATCCTACAGAGTGTCTATTACATGGATGTTGTTAATTATACTGCCTTGCTGTGTGTGTTCATTACCTTGCTACAGCTGTTCATGTCCATTTGTGATAGATTTGCATAGCATTCCTTTCCTGTTTTAAACCACTAATTATAGGAAGAATTAACCTATATTTTTGGTTGAACTGTTCATTTAGATTTTCCATCCTTAAAAGCCACATTAATACCCAATTAATCCATCCAATATTTCTTTAAAAAAAGGGAGCTCGTATTGAACAGACAAAGGCATAGATTTTAACCTTCATTTTATGTGTCATACCATTATTGTAATTATTTCATTTAAAGCCTTGTTTGTTTTTTTTTTTACAAATCTAATCAACGATCTCTCTGTCCTTCCAATCCTTACCACCTTCCCTTCCCCACAGACAACACAAAGAGTGAGGGGGAAAAAAATGCCGCATAGTTCTGATCTCCTTAAAGTTTTTAACATGCCGTCTCGGGGAGAATAATTATTCATAGAATTTAGGGAGAGGGGGGAGGGTTAGTGTGTAGCCCGGGACGTGCACGTGTGTGCGGGGTTGCGGTTGTTATTGTTTAGTGGAATGGAGGCCTGGGAGTGGAGCAATGGGAGACCGGCAGTGCTGCGGTGCACACACAATGCCCAAGCAACCGTTATGCCCACAGGCTAGGTCGGCTGTGATTAGGCCCTGTATGTTGCCCTGCCACTTCAGCCATAACGTGGCTCACCAAGATCTTGTGATTCAGACAGACAATGCCACAAAGCAACATGACCCCCCCCCCATTACAGCTTTGCTTTTTTTTTTTTTTTTAACTCATTGACAAATTGAGTGTAGCCAGGCGATTGTGACTCAGCCGATTCTCTGTACAAGATGGGGGGTCTCTCTGCTCTGCCTGAGAGTACTGTAGCACTATGCAGGGCCAGGACATTGTGGAGGGGGGGAGACATTCAACCCACTGTGGTGTCTGGCAGCTCCTACATTGTCCTGGGTTCTTGCCAACTCAGCACTTGAGATGCTTCTCATGAGTGGGGTCGTTGAGCCCGGTGAAAATGCTCTCTCTTTTGTGTGTCTTCTTAGGGAAGAGGATTGCTATTTAGTGGGCAGGGGTACATTAAAAAGCTACAAAGGAAATAGATAATTCAGTTTTCTTACTTCCATTGTCACCTGACAATTATGTTATCACTTCCGTACATACCGCCTCAACACTGAATACAAGCAGTCGTTCTGAATAATTTTTCATGAACAGATTGGTTTTTATCAAAGATTGTTAGAACCGCATAGCACAAGATGGAAAACTTCACCGTGAATACACGTAACACGTTGTAATCGCATGGGCGCCATTTGAGCAAGCGATACACATTAATGCACAGGTGCAGGCGCCGCGGCAGGCACGTGCACCTGGTGAGCCTGCGCCGCGCAGGTGTATCGCTTGCTCAAGTGGCGCCCGTGGTAATTGCAGAGTTATCCAACTTGCACCTTCGGCGCTATACGATCTTTGGTTTTTATGTAAAATCCCATTGCATTACTTTTTGAAGTGTTGATTTTGCATTGTTAAAAATTCATTTCATTGTTAAGGAATACCACACGCAAATAAAATATTGGTTTGAAAATGAGCTTGGCTGAACAATGTGTGGGCAGCGTTATGAGCAGAAAAGTGCGGTCATGCTATTTTGTGTCAACAAGCGTCACCACTCACAAGTAGTATCAACAAAGCGTTAACAATTTGAAAATACCCTCTAAAGATTTAAAAGTGGTTGTATCATAATTTAGAGACCCTAACATCCCCCACTATGTAAGGGAAACAGCGAATTTGCTTTCAAATTCTCGCAGGAAAATGAACATTTTTCCTGATGAATGGGGGCCACCATCTTTCTTTTTCTCTGTCATCCACGCGAAACAAGATGGCGGCTT